TGTCCCTAAGGGCGGCGGGTTCTATGCGTGCTTGGGGCTTTTGGCTTCGAGATTGAAGCAAACCCTAAACCCCAAACCTAACAGAGGGATTGAAAAAACAAGTCTTCATCCCACACAACAGTCGCCTCTTAAACCTAAACCCAAAACCGAAACGCACGTGCAGGGCTCCGACCATGTCTTCGTGGCGCTCAGCCTGACATCGGAAGCTTGAGAAAATAATGACGGTAAGAAGCATAAAATAAAAGAATAATCGCAGTACAAAAATTGGAACATGGCTCCCTTAATAGTTCCTTTCAAGAGGGTTACTAAAACGGTTCAATATAGGAGCCTCCAGAGCAAAACAATTGGGTTCCTTCAAGGGGCTCTATAAGGGATCGGCAATTATGAGGGTTTAGGGCTTAGTTTGTAGGAAATTTTGGAATTTTTTGATATTTGGTCTAGATTTAGGGGGCTTGATTAGTCAGAATAGCGTCTTGGGGTCTACCCTAGTACAAACAAACCAAGACGATAAGGGGAGACTACCACTAATTCGAACGACACCTATGCTGGCTTTGTTTTAAGGATCGGTGAGCTTTTCATTTTCCCAACATAACTATCTGGGCAATGTTACTTGAAAGACCAATGGGCGTCTCGAGACGGGTTACGGTGAGGGTTCTATAACGGTTCTTGTTAAGGAAGTTAATGTTCGAAAACCATTTCTGTTGAATGCCACCACCAAAAACGCGAGCCTGAACAGTAGAGTTACAAGAAGGGTCTTAAAGGTACTATGGTTGCATAAGCTTGGCCAAGGGACATTTGTAAATCATGGTAGAAATGTGAGGGAAGCTTCGGTGAGATATGATGGATACTGGTTAGTCAAGCTTTAAACCAGCGAAACGAGTCAGTGAAAACACGTCCATAGGGCTTCGCCTAGGGCTTCAAGGACAAGGAAGACCTTTGCCCCAAATCCTTCAAATCCTAAACATAAACCTAAACTCCTAGCCCGAGTCCCTAAATCCGTAAACCCTACACCCTGAACTATTGACCCTAGATGACCCAAAATAAGATCCCGAAAACCCCACCGAAGTCCGAATTATGAAGACCCCTTCACTCATCCCTTCGAAACCCTTGAAAGCCCGTATGTTGTTAACCCTTTAAGGAAACCGTTCAGGAAGCCTATTCCAATTCTTGCGAACCCTTTAAGCCCAGTTTAACTCTTACGGGCGGTAGTTCCCCAAATACGGGTCCCGCTTTCGGTCCCCAAAGATAATGCAGCACCCTTATAAAACGAACCTAAACTTCACACTCACCCTAAACCAGCCTAAACCCTAAACCCCTATGCCCTCAACCCCTAAACCCTAAACCCCGAACCCTAACGAGCCGTGTCTTCACAGCCCATTATTACTATTATTAATATTATTTGTGAATACTAATTACTAATTATTACTATTACTACTATTATTTATTCATATTCCTAATTATTGCTATTACTATTACTACTATTATTTATTAATACTACTAATTAGTACTATGACTACTATTAAACCTGCTTGCAGCGCCTGCTCGGCGAGGCGCGCCATGAAGACGTTCTGATCCCGGATCGACCTGGCACCCGGAAACCTTTAAAGGGCTCCTATAGGGATTTAGGGATTTGGGGTTTAGGGATTTAGGGTTTAGGGATTTAGGGTTTAGGGATTTAGGGTTTAGGGGTTAGGGTTTAGGGTTTAGGGTTTGCCGTAGAGTGGCGCAGAAGCGGAATGATCTTGGATCAGTGTCTTTTCGAGTGCGTCGTCATGTGACGACTGGCCGTTAAAGCCTGATTGTGGATGGCTCTCTCTTTTAATTCTCCCACCCCACGCCGTCTAAGGCGGCCAAACCACCCAAACCTATTCCTTTTAGGGTTTAGCACCTAAACTCATTCCAAGGTTTCTCTCTCTTCAAGCCGCAAACCGCAGGGCAAGGCAGGCAGGGCAGGCAGGAGGGCAGAGCAGAGCAGGGCAGGGCAGGGCAGGCCAGGCCAGAACAGGCAGGGCAGGGCAGGGCAGGGCAGGGCAGGCAGAGGGCGGGGCAGGGCAGGAGGGCAAAACAGGACAGGGCGGGCAGGGGGCAGGGCAGGGCGCCGGAGCCGCCTAGGTCCTTGGAACCTGTTTGCTGGAGGGTCCGGGGCCCCCCCTGGGGGGTCCCTTTTTGGAGGGGCTGCCCAAAAGGCAAGGCCAACCAGGGAAGGGGGGGGGTTTAGGGTATTTACATTTTAATACCTGCTCCGGTACGGGGCCTAACGTGGGTGCTACCGTCCCCATGGCTGTGGGGAGGCGGGCAGGCGTCTTGGGTCGCTCTGCGCCATCGAGGTCGAGGGGCTTAAGCGCCGCCCACCCACAGTAGGTGGGCGGCCTATGCCTTGAGTTTAGGGATTTAGGGTTTAGGGGTTAGGGTTTAGGGTTTAGGGCGTAGGGTTGCTATGCCCCCGGAATGTTTCGTGTTTTTTTGTTTTGTTTATGGGCCCTTTTCGAACTGCAGAACAGTTTCGGGTTTTAGGTTTCAGGGTGTTTCGGGTCTTTAGGGTTCAGTTCTTAGGGTTTAGGGTTCAGCGTTGGGGGTTCAGGGTTCAGGGTCGAGGGTTCGGGTTCGGGGCTAAGCATTTGGGGTTTAGGGCTTAGGGTCTTGAGGGCTCTCAAAAAAAAGCTCTCAGTGCGATTTACGGGTTCTGGGCTTTTTGGACGGGTTCAGGACGTGAGACCTGGGGTTGTTGGTAGCTCCTCTGCCTTGAGCTCAAACAGCCCAGATCTCACCTCCTACATACCGAGCCGGATTCCACAGGCCACATGAACTGCGGCCTGTGTGGTTTGGAGTTGAAGGTCTGGGCTGTGGGCTTTGGATTTAGGGTTTTACCTGGTTAGGGCTTCAGGGTTGAGGTTTGGGATGTCAGACTGGTGGCACTTCAATAGGGACCGTCGCCAGGGCCAGAAGATGCTCCCGCAGCCTACTTCCCAACCGAGGAAGGCTTCACAGAAGGACTCTGGTTCACAAACACGATCTCAAGCAGGCCGGCTGTGCATCTCCGACCTCAGTCAGCAAACGACGACAGGATGCAGCAGGCTGCCCGCCGTATCAGCGTTCAGAGTTCAGTGTTTGGGTTTTGGGTTTTATGGGATGAAGCATTCTAAGTTCAGGAGTTTAGGGTGGCAGCATGACGCGGATCACCAGACACGCTTCTGAAAACAGAGATACTTACCTTCACGGTCCATGCGTCTGCGAGGTCAACTGTCATTATGCACTATTCCGAAGACTATTCTTAGCATCTTACCTGCTTCAATAGCACAAGTAACAGTAGTAGCAGTGGCAGCAGCAGGCGCGCAGTAGCAGTAGCAGTAGCAGTAGCAGTAGCAGTAGCAGTAGCAGTAGCAGTAGCAGTAGCAGTAGTAGTAGTAGTAGTAGTAGAAGTAGAAGTAGTAGTAGTAGTAGTAGTAGTAGTAGTAGTAGTAGTAGTAGTAGTAGTAGTAGTAGTAGTAGTAGTAGTAGCAGTAGCAGTAGCAGTAGCAGGAGCAGCAGCAGCAGCAGCAGCAGTAGCAGTAGCAGTAGCAGTAGCGATAGCAGTAGCAGTAGCAGTAGCAGTAGCAGTAGCAGTAGCAGTAGCAGTAGCAGTAGCAGTAGGAGTAGTAGTAGTAGTAGTAGTAGTAGTAGTAGTAGTAGTAGTAGTAGTAGTAGTAGTAGTAGTAGTAGTAGTAATACTAATAATAATGGTAGTAGCAGCAGTAGTAGTAGTAGCAGTAGTGGTAGCAGTAACAGCAACAGCAGCAGCAGCAGCAGCAGCAGGCAGTAGTAAAGTAGTAGAACGTACCTGAAATCTGAGCTAAAGCCAGAAAGCCACAACGGTAAGCCCTCAATTCCGAAAAGCCGTATGGAAGGACCCAGAAAGGAACATTCTTATAGAACCCTCAGAGAACTCAGAACCCTTCAGGAACCCTATAGAATACACAGTAGCTGACTGGGAGTGTCTTCGCTCTGGGTTCGTGACATGGCTGCAGCGACAACGGCGTGATCGAAGGTCACCTTCACTTTAGTTTTGGGAACGGAGGGTCTAGGGTGTGTAAAAGATGTTGGTTTAGTCGTAGGTTTTCGTCATTGCTCAGTACGGCTTTAGAAAAGATTGTAAAAAGGGTTTCATAGCGACGGAAGCAGCCTGGCAAAGTACTTGAAGGATCATATACAGGGCACATGTTTATTCTTTAGGTTTCTATGAGGTTTTGAAGCACTTGAAAGAAGGTGCGCTGAGCACATTTACCTCACTCCAAGGCAGATATAAGCTACCGTACTTGCTATGTCCCATGATCTTCCAAGTCGCAAACCCTAAAACCCTGCGGGCCTGTCAACATCCCCGGAAAAACTATGAGGACTTTAAAATAAACAGACAGATACGTATTAGAATCCCTTTTGTGCTTTATTGGAGGCAAAGGTTTTTCGGGGTTCAGAGTGATGGAGTCTTGCATCAGAAGCTGGAGGCTGTGAGGTTTGGGGTTTCGAGCTTTCGGTTAAAGTGTTCAAGGTTTTGGGGTTTAGGCCTAACGCTGAACGAGTACAGGCTTGGGCATCAAACCACAAACCGAAAACAAAACGACAAAGCTACCGAAGCACTGCTGGACTTGCAAATCGAACGCACATGCACACAATCCGTCGGGTTGTAAGGCTCGGATGGAGTACGCAGCAGAAACCCTAAACCCTAAAAATCCTGCTCCCCTGCCCGGCCTGCGCTCCCTTCGCTGTATCAACCGATGGAATCCAGTCGTCGCTGAGAGCCAAAACGAGCGAGAGGACATGCATTCCAATGCGACAAAGCCACGGTCAAGTCCGCACATGCTTCTCTGTAGTCGCTTGTCAGCAGCCTGCAGAATCCCCGGACTATTTTGGGCGCATTGCGTGGAAGCTGTACAAGGTCTTCAGACGAGACTGGTGCCGTGGTGGTGCCACGTTTCGTGGTGAACTCCAAACCACTGGTCTCCTGCGCCTCGAATCTAAGCTTAAAATCAGAAGCAGCCCTCGGGAACGAAGCATCCCCGCTCATCTAAATCAGCAGCTAGTTGGTAAAAATCCTCGGAGCCCTCACTCAAGATGGTCCGATTCGCCACGATGACAAGTCCACTTTTCCTGAGATATTCAAGAGTGGAAAAGTCGCGTGGCACATTCAAACGTTTGCTATTATCATTGTTGTTGCCATCATAACTGTTATCACTGTAATCCTTACTCTTAACATCTCTTAACCCCTTGACACTCAATATCACTATGCTTACTATAATTACTATTATGCTCAAAAAAGCGGATCCTGCTGTTTGTTCGTAGTCATTCGGCTCACGTCGGTCAAGTTCTGGGCCCGACTTGCTACTGACATGCTTCCCTGCGTTCCCTAAAGGGATGATACGGTTTAGGGTTGTGGGGTTGGTTTAGGGTTTAGGGTTGAGGGTTTAGGGTTGTGGGGTTGGTTTAGGGTTTAGTGTGTAGGGTGGCAGAGGATATTTCCATAAACCCTTAACCGTTTAACTCCGATAAGTAACCCCCTAATAAAGCCATCATCCCTTTCTCCTCATGCAAGGGTCGCTCGGGTCAGTGCGACGTTGAGCAGAGTAGCCTCCGGCAGAAGTCGGAGCAGGGCATGATGATATTAATGATTCTTTTTGGGAAGGGTGGGGACCCCATCCGGATGACGATGACGATGGTGATGATGACGTGCTGCTGATCGTATATTTATCGTGTCGGCTGCCGGGCATGCAAGCCTTCTAGGTTCGTTGAGTTGGAAAGTAGCTACAATGGTTAGAAGCATCACATGGCAGTTGCTCAGAATACCTCTCTCCAATGAGCTAATCAGGTACCCTTCCTGGCCAAACAAAACCGGAACAAATAAAACAGGATCGTAGAGAGATACCCGACGAAAAACCTTACTTGTACACTTGGTTCATACAAGCCACAAACCTGAAATCCTCCGCACATTCCGGCGCGCCTTCCCCGCGATTCCGATGTGGCTCTCGAAGGTTTGCCGCAAACCGGGGCTCTGCTGCGACACCGCCACGCGCAGCTCGTTGGCCGAGCCTTGAGGCGGTCGGATAGGATGCAGCGTCTTGTAGAGAATCTACTTCGGGGGTAGAAGGTTAGAAGGGAATAGGATCTCATGAACGCTTACACGGGGCTTCCTTCTGAGGATACAGACTGTCGGGTTGAGGGTGCATGAAGGTGCAGTGTGCCCCACGTTCAGGTAACCCATGGGCACAAGGGCTTCGGTCACTGGGGCATTGGAGTACGAGGGATTTGGGTCTGGGGATCCAAATTCCGAAAATTAGGGGTGCCTTATTTTGGGGTCCTCATAATGAGGATCCTACAAGTAAAGGGTACTATATGAGGGTCCCCTGTTTTCGGAAACCCCCAAATCGTTAAGGCGGTGTATATACACCCAAAAAAAACGGTTAAGGGGTGCCGGGCTTTGATGACTGGGGTCCGGAACTTGTGAGGCTGGAATCCGAATCCTGCATCCCAAACTGGATGCATAAGTCGCAAGACGTCTTGGATTTTGGCGTTTGTGTAAGGTCTTCAGGTTCAGAGTTTCAGGGCTGGGGGCTTGAGGGGCTTGAGCCTTGGGGCTTTAGGCCTTGAGGCTCTTACCATAAATATCCGAGACGCCCTCGGCCAAAAAATCCAAAAAATATCCCTGCACACCCTCCGCCGACCTAAGAACTCCGGAAATCTTGAAAGAGGCCCCTGCAGAATCAAGACTGCAATACATCCGTCAAACAAACCCTGAAATCCCTAAAACCCTAGGCCCTAAACTCAAACACCCTTAAAGCCCTCACCCTTCCGATGCGGCCTTGCATGGAGAGGTGGTTCAAAGCCCAACCTCTTCGGACGTGGAAATTAGGATTTAGAGTTTGGAGGTTACTTACCTTCGGTTAGTAGAGAATGGAGGAATGGGGTACAATTATAATTATAACTACTATTACTACCATTCTTCCATCCCCTACTAACCAAAGGTAAGGTTACGGGCGATAGGTTCTTCCGTTCGCGCTTGGGGATCGAAGCTGTTCCTATACTGAACTTAGAACCCTAGCAAAAATTGTAATTCTAGCTGTTTCTTAGGGATTATAATAACCAAAAAATAAAAATCATCTCTAAGTACCCCTAAGGACAGGAAGCCTAAACTAACGACTTCCAGAAAGGGTCTGCCTGCACAATGCAATTACTAGAAGGGATCTATAAGGGTGCTATCATGTAGGGGCCTTAGCAATCACCGTTGGGGGGTTCCTTATTGTAGCTATAGTATACCTTATTGTAATCATAGTATACCATATTGTAACTATAGTAGTTATAATGGAGGGTCTTGCCAGTTTATGGCCCGAAGCTGACGGGCTCAGGGCGCAAAAGAGCTGAGCGCTTTGGAGCTTGGGCTAGGGGTCGATCTCAAACAGTCCCCAAAAGTATCTATAATTAGGGCTCTCCATCAAAGAATAAATGAAACTAAAAGCTATCCCAAAACGATGCCTAGTTAAAGTTTCAAGTCTTCTTCACACTTCGCCTCCCCCGCTTCTGAGTCTGGCCGTTGCTCGGCACCCTGCGCATGGGAGTTTCCGAAAATAGGGGACCCTAGTATAGCACGTTAAATAGTAGAATCGTTATTATAAGGCCCCAAAGAAGGTACCCCTAATTTTCTGAAACTCCTTAATATCTAGCAAAGAGACTTTCGACTTGCCAAAGCCACAAACCCTAAACCGCAAACCCGGGATTCCCTGAAAACCACTACCACCGCAACAACGATTACGACTATCACGCCAGCGACAGTGAAGCAAGCATGGCAAACCTTGGCCAAAGCCCCCAGCGACACAAGGCAAATGTCGGCAGGGCTTTCGGAAGCTTTCGGGAAACTCCATGAGTTCGGAAGCTTACGGCTGTTTAGGGATCGAGGAGTACCCCAGAATCCCCACGGTTTAACCCTGCAAGAGTTCACTTTCAAGAGCCACTACCGACACCCAAGAGGTTTAGGACATCTTCTGGGACCCTGCACCCTAAACCCTGAACCCACGGGATTTAGGATATATTAAAGCACCCCAACCCCCGTTTGGTGGGCAAGGGTTTTCTGACGTTGCCTTCGGCAGTGCTCCGCACGAAGCTGAGGAGGATGTAGTGACGCTCCGAGCCTGGGCTGTTGCTGGGGCTTCCGTTTGATGATAGGGGCCGTCATAATGGCGATCATGACAAAAAATAACAAGAATCATAATGATCATAACGAAATGCATCGTCGTGGTAGACACAACAATGACCAGAAGCAGAGTAAAGTATTAGTAAGGGAACCCAAATGATAACACCAAGCGCAACAATCAGAAGAAGCAGAATAATTGTTATCATATACAGATGACAACAAAAACCTATTTCTAGGGAACTCAGCCTCTCGCAAAGCTGAACCCAAATGGTGTGGCTGTGGTCGAGGTTATTCTTGCGGATTCAGGGGTGTAGAGCTTCGGGTTTTGGAGTTGTTTGTTGGCTTTTGGGGGAGCAGCATGCACATCCTGTCCTCAAACAACGAGCCCTGCGAAAGTGACCTCAGGCAATGCACCTTCAAAGCAAGCGTTTGCCTCATGCTTGAAACACAGGCTAGGATGATGGGAGGCCAAAAGGGGGGGTTTAAGATTCTTGGGGCAGGGATTCCTTAATCATGAACCTTATTATGGGAACCCTAATCCCTACTAAACCCTCATAGACAAAAACTCCTTTTGGCCTCCTATGAAAGGACCCCCAAGCCCGAATGCCTCAAGCGCACTCGTGATTCGAGGAGATTCCTAAAACCCCACGTCTTAGAGTCTCGGTTCAGGGTTTGGTATGTTCTTGCTTGGGCCTAAAGCGTTCCTCGAAGGCTCAGTCTAGGGTTTGCAGGCTTTAGGGTTGAGGGTTTAGAGTTTCTAGAATCCTCAAGGTCCTAAAGTCGCAGAGCGCGAAAACCCGAACCTGTGAGACTCCGAGAGAACCTCACAAATGGGAGTTTCTGAAAAGAGGGGACCCTAATATAATACCCCAAATAGTAGGATCCTTATTATCAGGACCCCCAAATAAGGTCCCCCTAATTTTTGGAACCTTCCAAATGGCCCCCCGTGTCCCCCAAAGCGCGGCCCGGCCTTGCATGCTGAAAACCGTCCCGACGGCCGTCATCCCCGCAGATTTCCCAAGCTTCCCCGGAAGCTCCTCTGGGAACGGAAACGACCACAAGAAGCTTGATAACTAGTTTTGGGGGGCCGTCATCTTAGGAGTGCAAGGGGATACTAGTACTAAGTCTTTCGACCCTCGTATATAGTTTAACCGGATCTTTCAAAGCCTTCTTGACGGGGCCCACTCAGGAATTCTCAGTTAAGGGTTAAGGGTTTGGGATGTCGGGTTTTGGGCAGAGGGTTTAGGGTTTTGGTTTTTGGTGCTGGTTTTTGAGCTTTAAGATGAGTTTAGGCTCTAGGGTTTTGGGTTTGGTGCGTGTGGTTTAGTAGGCTGTGGGGCTGCGGCTGCTACAGTCAAACGTTAGCAGCGAGGCGCACGACCTGCAGTGCTTCAAGCCTTCCCAACCACAAACTCCCCAGAATGACAACAAACCTCCCTGAACCCTAATTCTAATCCTAAATCCCTTAACCCCAAACCCCTGAACCCTGAACCACTAAGCCACCAAAACCAAAACCTCTGGGCGTTTTGTCTGCACTTGTTAGGCAAGCGAGGGCTTCGTGGTTTCGGGGTTCTTAATATAGGAATCCTGTAAGAAACCCAAAAAAGGCTCAGGGTTTTGGGCTTTGGATTTGGGCCGGGCTTTGGAGCATCGCCTTTAGGGTCTAGAACTCTTAAGATTTCGGACCTGGACCTTTGCTATATGAGCAACATGGGAGTTTCCGAAAATCGGGGACCCCAATATAGTACCCTAAGGAGTCGGGTCCTTAAGATAAGGACCCCCAAATAAGGTACCCCTAATTTTCAGAACCTCTAAACCCTAAACCCTTTGTACAACCCTTATAGATCCCTTTAAGGAACCCTTATAGATCCCTTTAAATTAACGGATAAGCCCCTAATTTTCGGAAACTCCCACGTGGCAACTCTCCTTCAACTTCCGCTGGATGTGCTGCTCTTGGGCCTTGTACCTTGAAGGTGCTCCGGGCGAAGAAAGCGCAGCCCATCTCCCACGCCCCAAACACTACATGAGCCACACATAAGACAGGATTATTCCGGAAGGCTCCAATTTAGCCCACGATTGCTGCTGCTGATGAGGCTGCGACGACGATTGCTGTTACTGCTCCCGCCCTGAACCTGAAACCTAAACCCTGAACCCTTAAGCCTAACCCCCAAAAGAACCCAACCCCAATCAAACCCAGGTGCGGAGTAATGATCGCCACATCCTCAGCCCGGCAGTGGCCACTCTCCATCAGCTTCTTGTACACCTTCTTCCGGGACGGTTTAGGGTTTAGGGTTTAGGTCATTCGCTTCCCATGCTCCGATTCAGGGTTGTCGGGCTACCATACACGCTACGATGAGGTGGCTCGACCCTAAGCACTAAGCCCCAGACCCTAAACGTGCTGCCTCCGGGCTTATAGGATCTTTGAGGGGCTTAAGGGCTCCTCTGTAGCAATGGTCAGAGTGCTTCGACCCACAGATGCAAGGGGCTACAAGGCTTAATTGTACTATGGGGGCCTGAGTAATTAGAGTAGGGTTTTGGGGCCCGTTATACTATACTTACAAGAAGGAACCCCCAAAAAAAAGAGTATTGCTAATTATTTAAGCCCCCAGTGCTACATGGGGGAGGCCGAGGCTTCGTGGTAAGTCCAGCTAGGTAGTATTATTAGGGAGACCCCTTAAAGGGTACCCCTTCAGAACCCTACTTCTGGCTCTCTTAAAAGAGGCCTTATTGAGAGGGTCTGTATCCCCAAGGGTCCCCCCTAATCCACTCCCACCAGCCTTGATGATAATGTCCGCCTCGCCCTCGTTCTGCAAGGAAGTGTTGTTCTCCAGAACCTACGCTGAACTTCGTACCCCTTGGGTTTAGGGTTTAGGGTATACTGAACTTGGCACTTATACTGTTAGCTGCTCCTTAGGGATTGTAGGAACCAAGAATGGGGAAAATTTTCTAAGTACCCCTAAGGAACGGTCATGTTCAGAGAACGGGAGCTTCCCACAGTGATCACGCTGCCCATGCTGTGCGGATGGGAGCAATCAAACCAGACCTAGTTCATGGTTGGGGGTAGTATTAAAAAAATATGTTCCTTATTGGGGCTTAAGTACCCATAAAAAAAATTAAAATGGGATAGTAGTAAAGACTATCATTTCTATTCCGTATTCGGCTTAAGTACCCATAAATGTGCAAAATGCTACCCAGCTATGACTTCTGTTCCTTATTGGGCTTAAGTACCCAAAATAATCCTAGAACCTAGACCCTAAACCGTTACCCAGCTGTGACAAAGAGACGACTCGATCGGTGTTGCTCGGCCACACGCTCGGCACCGGCGGTTTCAGCGGCAGGCCCTGGGCGTTTTGGAGGCGGTTGTCGTAGAAGTGCCTGGAAGGAAATGAGCAGATGGTGTCCTGCCAGTGGCACTGCACCCTAGGTTCAGGGGACATCGTAACTACGCGCTTAGACGACCTACCTGGTCCCGGGATGACCGCAAGCCACCTGCAAACAGCGCAGAGCCCCAAGACCTCAGCCGTCTGAAGCCAACAAACCTGCAAAAACTCATGCAATAAACTCCTATACAGCCTTAACACATAACACTATCTCCATCTTCGGTTTAAAGCCCCAAAACCCTCCTCTAAACCTTGTCCAGAAAACTCCCGACAGACACCCCTGGCGTCATGCATGCGGTACTGCTTCTCGAGCATCGTCGAGACGAGGCTCCGCCCCGGCCCTGCAGTAAAAGCCATTACATATTACGTTATATTATATTGTATTAGATTATGCTATATTATAGAGCTATCTTAGCTATTGAGAGTTTAAAAGAATACAATTCCATTCTATATAGATATGTTCAATCAATGAATTTTCCCTTTGTATACTCATGGATTAGATAAATACGGCTGCGTTGCCGTTTTGTCTTACGGGTTTAGGGTTTGGGGGTTGTTTGGGGGTTTAGGGTTTAGCGGCTTAGGGTTTGATAATGGGCAAAGGGAGCGGTTTGATTATTCGGCTTAGGGCTCATAAGAAAGGCTTAACCGTTAAGGTTTGGTGTAAGGTTCAGGGTTTAGGGCTCTGGGCGAACCCGTCTTTTGGGACCTACACAAGTAGAGTGTAGGGTTTTGGTCGATAGTGTCTCATGCTAGATGGAATTATCATCTCGCCGAAAACTGGAGACGTGCTTTTGGGGCAATATGCCCCATGGTGATGGTGATGTATATTGGGACTGCGCAAGGATCCTTGGCCCTACAAGCCCCATGAAACCCCTACACAAGCTTCGTAGAAGCTTCTCAGAATTGCGGATGATGTAGGAACCTGGCTGAGAAGCCCTGGTCCTGTCATAAAATCCATAGAATAAGACTAGTAAAGAATCAAGGACTCTGAATCAAGGCTCCCGTATTACTGTCTGATCCCATGGACACAGTAGGGGTCGTAATCATTATACGACCTTATACCAAGTTGTACCATATAGATATACTGTACTATAACTCTGTTATACTATAACTATACTGTATTATACTGTACTATAATTATGTTGTACTACAATTACACCATGCGAGAACTATACTATAGTAGAAGCATGTCATGATATCCTAAAATAGTAGGATCCTCATTATAAGGACCCCCGACATAAGGTACCCCTAACTTTCGGAAACTCCTAGACCCTAAACCCATTATAGAACCCTTATAGATCCCCTTTAAAGGCACCCCTAAGTTTCGAAAACTCCCCTATTGCTGTTTGATCCCGGCCTTCTTTGCTAGCAGGCTTCCGGTTCGCGAGCCTCTCGAGGATGGGCCTTTCAGGGAGCTACGGTTTAGGGTTTAGGGTGCGGGGGTTTATGGCTTAGGGTCAAAGGCGATCAGGGAGGTACCCTACAGCAACTACGCGGAAAAAAAACTCAGGGTTTAGGGTTTGAGGGTTAGCGTTTGGGGTTTAGCGTTTAGGGTTTAGGGTTTGAGGGTGTTAGGGTTTCGGGTCTTGGGTTTGAGGGTTAGGGTTTGGGGTTTAAGGTTGAGGGGTTTGGGTTTTAGGGTCGAAGGTGACCAAAACAATGCCCACCCCACACCCTGAAACCCCCAAAATCCAATTCCCCAGCCCCACAATTCTGAAACCCCGAAGCTCTGAAACTCTGATGATCTTCGGGTGCAGGTTGCGGGCTTCGCCTTGATTCAATGAGAAGCTCCGAGTGTCGTTTTACGAAGTGTTCCGGGGGGTTTAGTTAGGGCCATACTACTTGGGTTTAGGGGTTTAGGGGTTTAGGGGTTTAGGGGTTTAGGGGTTTGGGGGTTTGGGGGGTTGAGGGGTTTAGGGTCCAGGGGTGTAGGGCTTAGGTTTTAGGGTCTACTTAAAGGATCATGGGACTTAGTAACTAGGGTTATAATTAGGGTAACTATACTTATAACCCCAATTAAGGTACTTCTAACCCTACTTACTAAGTCCCATGATCCTCCAAGTAGGGGTTTAGGATCTACTACGGTTTTTTTTTTTTTAGGCTTTAGGGTTGAGGGCCTTGGGGCTCGGGGTCTTCGGATTTCAAGGGGCTTCAGGAGCTTTTCCGGGCTTCTAGGCTCCGGCCATAGGGTTCCCTTTTAAGGGGCCCTTAAAGGGTTACTATAAGGGATCTATAAGGCTGCTTTAATACAGGGGCCTTAGTATTTAGAACAGGGTTTTGGGGCATATTGTACTATACTTATAAGAAGGAGCTACCCAAAACAGTATTGGTAATTATTTAAGCCCCGACTATAGCATGCATTAGGGCCTTGGGGGGGGATTGGAGAGCGCAGCATCACGTCAGAGTCCTAAACCCCGAACGCTAAACGCTTACCTTTGGTTAGTAGGGAATGGAGGAATGGGGTACAACTATAACTACTATTACTACCGTTCTTCCATTCCCTACTAACCAAAGGTAAGAACGGAAGCCCTGAATCCACGCGCCTCTCCAGCATGACGAGGTATGCCTTGCAGAGGTTGTGCTCGGTCACCACAGGTCCGAGCTGAGCGGCTTTGCTTTTGGGATCTAGACGTTTAGGTTCTTGAAATTATGGGTCGGAATACTTGGTGATAGTATCACCTTCTTCTGAAATATACTCCAAAACACTGTTCTAATTACTCAAGCGCCCTGACATCAGTTCCTCGACGGGGGGGAGTTGATTTCGGGCGACGGGCTCCTGCTTGCGGGAGGGGTGTGGAGGTGAGGGCCGGAGATTGCAGATAAAAGGGTTTCAGGCCGGAGGATCTGCTGCCTCTGCACTGCCATGACCATAGAACCTACAGGTACTACACGACAAGCTAAAGCCACTGTACACCCGAGAAGACCATCTGATTGAAAGGTCCTCACCCGAAATAGCCCAGAAAGCTCGTTGCCCGCACCCGTGGCCATTAAACTGTCCGAATCCGCAGACCCGAACCAAAGCCAACCTCAACCCCTCTGGCACTGAAGGCGCAAAGGCAGAGCTGTAGTCTCCGGAACTTTGGGAAAAAACAGGACTCAGTCCTAAAACCTAAACACTAGACCCTAAACCCATAACTCTGGGTATCAACTCTCAACGATAAGCTTCCCTCGCACCTGCTTGTGGTCACCGATCAGAATCGCCCGGTCTTGCGCCCCTGGGATTCGAAGCCAGGGTACTAGAACGGGACCCTCATTCCTGTGAGACATGTTTACAGGTCTGATCAGTTACGATCGGGTTTGGGGGTATGTTCCACTATGATTATGCTGCCTCCCATAAACTCCCAAATGCTCAACCCGAAACGCCAAAATGCTCTGGACTCGAAGTTCTCAATACTCAGCTCATCCCCCCTTCGACCCTCAACTTTTAGATGAAGTGCCGGTATGTGACTGGTCAAACCGGGGGTCTGTGGGTAGCTGTATACTACATTTTGCTTTATTCCGGGCCCCTACCCGCAAAAGCCCTAAGCCTTAAACCCGAAAAACCCTAAAAAACCCTAAACCCTACAAAACCCTAAACCCTTAGAAGCCCTAAACCCGAAACCCGAAAAAACCCTAAACTCTAGAAACCCTAAACCCTTAAAAGCCCTAAACCCTAAACCCAGACCCGGCAGCCAGGCGGCGCAAGAGTGGCAAGACGACCTCGGGTTCCGTGGCCTGGTCGCGGCACAGGGAGGGAGGACAGAATCTGTGCTCTGGTTCGCATGGAAGGGGCCTTATAAAGGGGTCTATAAGGGTTACTATAAGGGATCTATAAGGGTACTGTAATATAGGGGCCTTAGTAATCCTATAGCTTACCTTGGAGATTCTACCTTAACCTACCAAAGCCTACTTGTTTTGTGGGTCCCTCTAAACTCCATATTAGGGTTTATAATAAGAACCTACAGAAAAGTAGGGCTTGGTAGGTTAAGGTATGGTGTACCTTCAGCAGAACTAGACAAGAACCTCTAAGGGCAGCTTAACAACTGCTCACAAAATTGTCCAGACCTCTGTGGCAGAGTTGCGGGAGCTCGGTTTAGGGTTGACAGTCTTGGGAATGGGCATGCGGTTAGGGAGCTGGATGGGCGCCTTAGGGCTTAGGTGTTAGGGTTCACGGTTTAGAACGCGCGTTTACCAATCTTAAACCATCATTTCACAAGTTGTTGAGGCTGCCGCACTCAACTATTCCTGGTCACCAGAAACCTGGAGCATGCCGCGTGTTCGGGCCTCGGCCACGGATCCAATGCCTAAGACCCTCCAGCTCAAGCTCCGAACCCTAAAGCTACAGTAGCGCTTATGGTAACTTTGCAGACATCTTGTAGTCACCCTACACCCTCCACTCCAACCGCTTGCAAAGCCACCCACCCTGACACCCCCAGCATGCCTGAGCACACTCATCCACGATCACAGACCGGAAAGCCAGGCCAGGGCCTGCTTTAGGCGTGCAGATTTTGTACGTCTTTAACAGCTTCAAGAACTTCTATAAGCAGGTAGAGGGCCTTTACATTGTACAGGGCTGCATACGCTTCTACAAGTACACATCGCCGCGTTTATAACTACCCATAGGCCATCAAGCACACCCTGAGTGTCAATCTTTGAAGTTGCGTCAGGGCTTTTTCTCCAGCGCAAACAGAGTACAGCCGACATTGCTTAAAGGATCATGGGACTTAGTGACCAGGGTTAGAATTAGGGTAACTATACTTATAACCCCAATTAAGGTGCTTATAACTTTACTAAGTCCTATGATCCTGCAAGTAGACACTAAACCCTAAACCCTCTAGATCCCTTTAAGGAACCCTTTAACGATCCCTTTTAAGGATCCCTAAACCTTACTTACTAAGTCCCATGATCCTCCAAGTGTGCAAACAGCACCAGGATTCCACTGCAACACTCACACGTCAACAAAGACCTGGGGGCCCTCAAGACTCCACACACTGCAACCGGCAGCTCCCTCAAGGCCACTTTTTGATCCAAACCCATCTAATTTTGAAACCCTAAATCCTAAACTATCGAGGATCAAAACACCCTTACTCTGCTACTCAAAGGTCCGCAAAAACCATATTCTATTCATAACAAGTGCCGGCCTTTCTTCTGCTTGTCCGATCTCTTCGGTGCCTCTTTCAGGGCCCCATGCGACAGCGCAGAGCTGCAGGTTGTGATCCTGGGCAGAAACGGGCCTCAGTAATATAGGGGCCTTCATGATTAGAATACGACTTTGGGGCATATTTAACTATAACTATAAGGACCCCCCAAAAATAGTATAGGAAAATTATTTAGGCCCCTATGTAAGAGTGAACCCCAGAAAGTTGGAACATGGGTTTAGGATGATGAGTGCTGGGAGCCCCTATACCCTTTCTAGGTGGGGCTTTTGAAGCCTTTGAAAAATATTAGTAAATAAGATCCTCTTAAGCCCAATAAGGGAAAATATAACATGTCCCAAAGCCCTACCTAGCGTTACTTTACCTGAAGGGCATGAGGACATCAATGTTCCGACTTTCTGGCTTCTACTTCAGTTTCTAGAGAGATTCAAAGAGAGATACAGGGTGCTACAGGGTTTTATCGGCTTCACTACAGGCAGCTTTACCAACCAAAGTAGCCAGAATGCCTTACCACACCTACATAGGGGCTATACGGAAGTAGTTTGAGCATAAACCCCAAACCCGAAGCCCCGCGCCCTGACATGCCGTGATCCAGAATCTGAACACTTCTTTCGGGAAGCGTGGAGTTCTGATGTTACAAAAGCCAGCTACTCCAAGCTGCACCTGGTCGTTATCAAACCGTTCTCACAGCCGCACCTCACTGCAGCTAAGGAACACGATTTTGGTCTTTGCCAGAATGGCTTGTTCCGCTGCCTCGTAAGCCTTTCTGCGGAAGGCAGCCGGCATGCACATCATACGAGCTCCAAAACTGTGCTCAACCTGCCCAACGTTTCCAAAAATGCTTGAAAGATTTCTCGAGGGAAGGCATGGGTATCATCCTAGGGATTTACCCCGGTGCCTGATCGTACTCGAACTGCCGCACAATACTCCTGCTCTCAAGGCTCTGCACGTCCTGGCAAGAAGGCTTCAGAATGGCTCAGTTCTGCCCGGCTATGACCTCAGACTTCTGATATGTTGCTATCAGGGAACATGCGCGAAATCTTAGATCTCACTTCGCCAAGAGCTCCTTGTTGTGTATGACTTTGAAGTGCAAGGAGTGCCGTTGCAGATCATCGGCAACCTTTGTGGATCTATTTAGGGTTCAGAGGTGAAGGGTCTGGGGCGTTGCAGATCATCTGCCACCTGATACGCTTCAGGGTTTAGGGTTCAAGGGGGCTGGTCACAGCTCGGAACATGCAGCTGCAACAGCACCCAGATGCGCCTTGTGCTCCGTTCGGGAGACGTTGGAATCCTGAGTTATTCACTACAGGTCGATGCTGCGACGCCGGTTCGGCTCTCACCGTGCATCGACTAATCAAACTCCCTTGATGTAACCACTTGGAGAGTACCGGTACAGTACTACTTTATCAGTGATCATTCCAGTATCCTACTCTCCGCTTTTGATTGGAGCACTTCCTCACCGAACTTGAAGAGAGGCCTGCCGCTATCCCAAGCCCTTCACCCCAGAGCAGCCTTGGACAAGGGTCCAAGGGATCCCCCCGCAGCTTGCTGCCATACTTGTACTCGATCGTCCGGGCGTACACCCTGGTGATGTACTGCTCAGGGATCGTCGTGCCCTGTCGCAGCGCAGCTGGCTTTGAAACCATAGACGCTGCGTCAGAGGCTCTTTTCAGCAGCTGAAGGCCAGTGGTTTAGGGGTCGTGCTTCTTTTCTCGTATGTCTTATGTCGTGCAGCTGATGACAGCTGTTGCGACTAGGATCGCCCGCAAAGACGACTTCGGTCGTCATCGCAAGGGGCCCGTCCTGGACGAGTTTGCGCAGACATTCGTCGGCTGCCTGATTTGACGGCGTCGTCACCTCGGTTGTCGGGGTGCTCCGACTCCGGGTCTGCTAGCTGGTTTCCGAAAATTAGGGGACCCTAAGATAGTACCTTAAATAGTAGGATCCTTATTGTAAGCACCGCAAAGCTTAAGGTACCCCTAGATTCGGAAACTCCCATCTATGTGCAGGGGCCCTAATGGTTAAGGGCCCTTTAAGGAGTTCCTTTAAAGGGGTCTATAAACATTACTACAAGGGCGATTGGAGCTTAGGGCTCGGAGTTTTTGGAGTTTCGAAGGCTTTGGGTTCAGAAGGATCTAAGGCAACAGATGTGCAGTTGTCAAAATTAGGGCCCCCTGTTTGGGTTTAGGGTTTAGGGTTTAGGGTTGAGCCCTAAACCCCCCTAAATATTTGGTGCCGTGTTTCAATACGGGACCAAAAAAGGGACCCTAACTTTGACAGCCACCCACCTATCCTGCCTTTCGCTCAAAGCTCGGGTCCGACGATCCCAAGCCCTGCACCCTCGTTCCTGGACCCTAAATGGGAGTTTCCGAAGATTAGGGGTACCTTAAGCTTTGGGGTCCTTATAATAAGGATCCTACTATTTAGGGTACTATAGTAGGGTCCCCTATTTTCGGAAACTCCCAAATGTCAACCTAGTACTTTTGGGTATTTCTCTGCCCTCTCTTGTGCAACTGCATCTAAGGTCCGCGGGCCGTGGAGAGGTCAGCGTTTAGGGTAATTTAGGGTTTAAGTGTTCAGGGTTTCAGGTGCTTACCTGATCATCCCCTACTAGTATTGACACCGCTGTTCGCTTCTAGGGCCCAGCGCTTAGCGGTTGAAACAGCGCCCCAAAGATCCTACCACTATATGGGTGGTTGTCAGAATTGTGGTCCCTTGTGGGTACCCTAAATATTAGGTGCCGTATTATAATATCGACCCAAAGAGGGGACCCTAATTTCGACAACCACCCATATGGCCCACCAGGAAAACTCACCAATTCACCAGCGGCCGACAGTTTCTCAGGCCCTTCGGCCCCTTTTCACCGGGCCAGCAGCAAAGCCAGCGGACTGCAAACTGTTTAGGGTTTAGGGTTTAGGGTTGAGGGAAATACAGTAAAAGCCATGACCCCGAACCACACACCCAAAAGCAAACGCTTGAATCGCCAAACCCCATGCGCCTTGTACTTATGAGCCCTAACCCAGACAAAAACTCTGAGAGAAAAACCTAAACCCTCAACAAACCCTGCAGCGAATGGGCCCTAAAACTAAAGCTTGAAAGAAAAAACTAAACCTTAGAAGCTGCCCCCACCCTGTAATAGTGGCTATAAGGATTATAGTAGGGCCCCATTATATTCCTATTATACCACTATTAGCAGGGTGGGGGCCCCTTCTAAACTAAACCCTATCAACCCTGAGTCCCAAAATCAACCCTAAACTCTAAAGCAATCGAAAAACTGGCCCCAGGTCCCTAAACCCTAAACTCCGGGGGTTGGGGGTTCTTATAAAGGGATCCATAAGGGTACTCTAAGGGATCTATGGGAGTTTAGGGTTTTACTTAGAGGATCATGGAACTTAGTAACTGGGGTTATAATTAGGGTAACTATACTTATAACCCCAATTAAGGTACTTATAACCTTACTTACTAAGTCCCATGATCCTCCAAGTAGACCATAAGCCCAAGTCCTAATTATTGCCCTGAACCCTGACTGAAGCCCTGAAGACTAAAAGCCCCAAGTCCGAATTCCCTCAAACCTAATGCCGCCGGCAAGACCAGTATCCTCCCAGTGCGCTCCTCTGCGGCCAGTTTTGTCGGCGCATTCCTCAGAGGAAGAAAAAGGGTTTACTACGCTCTGAACCTCGAAAACCCTAAGGTTCAGGGTTTAGGGGGTTCAGGGTTTAGGATTTAGGGTTAAGGTTTCGGTGTTTTGGCTTCGGGGGTTGTAAGACTGACGCGGGCTTAGAGGTTCAGGGGGGTTGGAGTTCGAAGCAGAGTTTTGCATGTAAAGCCCCTTCAAAGCCAACACAGGCTGTGAAAGACCTGAATGAAGCCCCCGATCATGAACTGGTGCAGCATAATGATGTAGTGGCCATGGGGGAATCTTATTGCTGATTATGCAGACCTGTGACTCTAGACTCTATGCAAACCCTACACAGCCCGAATACACCGCGTTACCTGGTTCGCTGGGGTTTCAACTAGTCAATACTGCTACTGTTTCGTCAGACCTCTTCATGAAGTATTAGTCTCAACCCGAGAACTAGACCCTAAACTCTAGAACCCCTAAACCCTGGACCCCTAAACCCCCTAAACCCTAAACCCCAAAATCCCAACACTAAACCCTGAACCCTTGACCCTAAACTCTAAACCCCCAACCCAAACTAAATCCGAAACCTCGAAACCCCCTAAACTCTAAAACCCCAAACTAAACCCTGAACCCTGACCGAAGGGCCTTTCCCGGAAGCGCTGCAAGGTCGGATCCAGCCTGGCATTTGGATTTACACTAGGGTTCAAGGCCTTTTCAGAGTCCAGGGTTTAGGATTTTTAATAGGGATTCAGGGCCTTTGAAGGGTTTAAGGCCTTTTAGCGGTTTAGGCTTTAGGGTTCGGGTTCAGTGTTTTTTGTTGGGGTTTAGGGTTCAGGGCTTCGGATTTATAGTAAGGTTCAGGGCGGTTTAGGGGTTTAGGGTTTAAGATTTTTCGTGGGGATTCGGGCCTTTTAAGGTTCAGGCTGAGGTTTTGATTAGGAACTGAAGGGTTATACGAGGGTCCCGGAGGGTTCTTATACAAAGGTTCCTATTAGAAGAGCCTGTAACATCCTCCAAAAACCCCTGGTTCTTTAACAAAACTTTCTATAAGAGCCTCTAACATCCTGTCAACACCTCTAAAGAAAAACCCAGCAACTCGAGGTTGGCGAGCGCGGTGACCAGGTGCACCAGGAAGGTGGTTTTACCCGTACCTGCAACTCCCAGGGCTCCGGAGAAAGGGTTTACTTGGAGGGGCAGGGGACTTAGTAACTGGTTATTTTCGGGACTTATAAGTACCATAACCCCAATTAGGGTCCCTTTTAGGGTACTTAGAAGTCTACTTACTACCTACTTACTACTTATAACTCTACTTATAACCTACTTACTAAGTCCCATGATCCTTCAAGTAGGGTTCCTGAGGTCTGGTCCTTGAGAAGTGTGGCCTTCCGAGGATCCAAGTTCCTTGAAGCTTTGGGCATTGAGGTTGAAAATTTAGAGCTTGAGGGGTACCTTAACCCTGAAGAACCTACCTTTTTAGGGTTCCCTATTATGGTTTCCTTATACAATCCTTAAAAAGGTAGGTTCTTCAGGGTTAAGGTAAGGATTACCGGATATGAGAAGTAGGCTTTAAGTACGTTGGTTTCCCGAACCCCGATGCCTTGTAGCGTCTTGAAGAGTAATCCAGGGCCCTCTCCCTGCATCTAACCGCATGCACAAAGCCTACAAACCCAAGTCCCTGATGCCAGAACCCCAAAACCCAAATCTGTATGTAACCCTGAACCCAAAACCCCTTCTAGATCCCGTAGCGTAGCTCTCATAGAACCCTTATGGCATCTGTTATCGTATCCTTGAAGGAAGCCATAAAGAGCCCCTGACCCCCAAAACCCCCTAAAACCTAAACCCCAAAACCCTAAAACGTAAACCCTAAACCCCACAACCCCACAACCCCTAAACCCAGCCGGCCTGGTGGCCCCTGGACCACCGAGAAGCTGTGCTGAAGTCCGCACTGGAGCCCGGCAAGCTGCAATTCGTTGATGCTTGTACCGGTGACCTCAGGGTTTGATGTAGAGGCCTTAATAATTAGAATAGAGTTCCGTTAAAGAGTTCCTTTGAAAGGGTTGCCATAAGGGCTAAAATAAGGGCTTAATATCGGGGCCTGAATGATTAGAATAGGGTTTTGGGCCCTTCCATAACATAAGCAGAATAAGGAACCCGAAGGAATAGTACTGACAACTATGTCGGCCGCTGTAGTAGGGTTGAGGGCTTAGGGGGTTTCGGGCTTAGGGTTTCAGATTCTCGGAGGTTACGGATCTAGGGCCGTCGTTCTGAGGGTTCCTTTAAGGGTTTAAGGTTTAGGGTTTAGGGTTCCTTCAAGGGCTTGAGGTGCAGATGAGGTGCAAATGAAGTGTGCAGGGATTAAGGAGTTCAGTTCTTGCGGTTGGGGTTTAGAGTCTCCATCTTGTGTTGCTGGGCGCTTGGAGAAATCCCGAACCATGCCTTCCCAGTGCTTGAAGGATACGGGGATGTAGTCGGCAGGCTATGAATAGGGCTGTAATCTGGGGTTTAATATAGGAACCTGATTAAGAAACGCTGGGTCTGTATTGGGGTTCGTTTAAAAATATGAACCGAAAAAAGTTATAGGGCCAGGGCTTCTTAATCAGGTTCCTACATTAGGGTTTTCTGAAATATGTTTACCTCCAAGTGAAGTACTTCTGACCTCGGCTTGCGAAGTCTCATGCTCCCTCGTATAACAAAACCCTGAACCCTGCCTTGTACTTAAAAAGGATCATGGGACTTAGTAACTAGGGTTATAAATAAGGTAGCTATACTTATAAGTACTTGTAACCCCAATCAGGGGACTTATAACCTTACTTACTAAGTCCCCTGAACCCTGCCTTGTATTCCCCATGCTTGATGGCCCGATCCACTTGCGCGACGCTTGCAAGGGGCCGCTTCTCTTTCTCCTCCTGCTGGACCTGATTCTGGGACTTCGGGGTTTTCAATGCTTTTCACTTTACTATACTATGCTATACTGTACTGCACTATGCTATACCATACTTTACTTTACAATACTACACTATATTACCATTATGGAACTGTAACATGAAAACCCTTCAGAGGACCTCCACCAAATCCTAAATCCCTTTAAACCAAAATACTCCTGAACCCCCCCAAAAACAACTTAAATCGCCAAAAGGATCATCCCTGAACCCTTAAAGCACCCTGAATCCCCCAAGAGCCACAAACCTTTGCAGGGCCGACAACCGTAATACCCTAAACCCTAAACGCTAAACCCTAAGCTTTGAAGGACCCTAAACCCTAAACCCTAAACCCTGAACCCTGAACCCTAAACCCTAAATCCTAATCCCTAAACCCTGAACCCTAAACCCTGAACCCTAAACCCTAAACCCTAAACCCTAAACCCTAAACCCTGAACCCTGAACCCTGAACCCTAAACCCTGAACCCTGAACCCTGAACCCTAAACCCTGAACCCTAAACCCTGAACCCTAAACCCTAAACCCTAAACCCTGAAAAAGAAATGAATCCTCCCAGGCCAGGCACGCTCGGAGCCTGCAACCTGAGCTGCTCATGGAACCAAAACCAAAACTCCACTCCGTCGTTAAGAGGGTAGAGGGTTTAGGGGTTTAGGGTTTAGGGTTTAGGCTTTAGGGTTTAGGGTTTAGGGTGTAGGGTTTAAGGTTCTGGCATCTAGTGTTGAGGTTTTTGGGGCTTTTGGAGTGTCGAGGTTTAGATTTAGGGCTAAGGGCTTCTAGGGTTTAGGGCTTTGTGGGGTTTAGGGCTTAAGGCTTTCAGGGCTGGCGTGTAGGGCCTAGGGCGTTGATTATTCTTCGGGGCGTTTAGGGTTTGGGGTTTTGGGCTTTACGGCACGACTGTCAACAAACCCTAAAAGTAGCAATAGCCTTCAATGCGAAGCAAAAACGGCGAGCGCACGGTGTAAAGTTCAGTTACCGAAATCTCCAGAAAAAAAAAAGAGCTGTGCCCAAGCTTACAAATCATCACACACGTAACCCAGCAAGAAAACATAAAACTTAGACTTATAGCAGGCCAAGAGCTGGGTGAGGTGTGCTGCGACAGGAGAAGACTCAGCACGGCCCTGGCGTGTGCGAAGCTTTTCCGGGAGCTGCCTGGAACTGTGGAGGGTCAACGGATTTGTGTAGGGTTTCTTGTTCACGGTTGGGATAGGAATAAAAATGTACATTCTTCTTCCCGATTGGGCGTGAGTACCCAGAAAATATAAAATGTTACCCAACTAACTAGGACAAAGGTTTAGGGTTTAGGATTTAGGTTCGGAGAATTCGGGTTTGGGGTTTTGTTTGGAGTTGCGGGTTCGGTTGGGATTTAGGGGTTCGGAGAGCGCAGAATCGAAGAGAACGGAGGAGGACCAGTGAGCGAACGAAATGGGACAGAAAAGAGACTGGAATAGGGTTTTGGGGCCCGTGATACTATAGCTATAAGAAGGAATCCCCCAAAATAGTATTGGCAATTATCTAGGCCCCTATAGTAGCTGCCTCACAAGGTCCAGGTTCTGGCGGTCGACGACCGGAATGCCGATCAGCTGCAGACGGAAGGCCCCCACCGGTGCTCTGCTCAAGGCGTCGGACTGATGGCGCTGGGCCAGGCAGCTGATTTCCTGGGTTGTAGTTTTGGGGCTCTGAAAAGTATTTATGAATAGGTACCTCTGTTGCAACCATAAGGGAAATTCAAAAGTTTTCCAAGTTGCCACCTAGCTTCCGAGAGCAAGACACTGAGGGTGAAGAGCGCCTCCTGCACCTCCTCACGAGGATGCAGGTTCTCTAGGGGCCTAAACCATCAGACTATGGTCTCTTTGGGTCTCTTATACTCTAATTAGAATAAGGGCTTAGGGTCTAGGGTTTAGGATGGTTTAGGGATACTTTAGTTAGGGTATAAGGTTTAGGGTTTAGGGTTTAGGAGCCCTGAGGCCTCGCCGGGATGCAGGTAGTCGCAGTTCTCTCGGCTGCAGTTTGGCCGGTTGCAGCGCTTCACCTTGTACTGCGTCTTCGCAGGCTCGAAGCGCTCCACTAAGCCGTACAGGAGGACCTCGCGATCACCCTCCACGCAGCGAAGAATCGCGAGGTCGCCTGCATGTCCGTCGGCATCAAACATATCGCTTTAAATCCATCCGTAGTCTAAGCATATACTGCAATACCACTACAACATTACAGCATTTACCAGTGAAAAGAAATATGTAGGCGTTATAGCACCTTGCCGAGAAGAAAACCCCGACTTCTTCAGCAGCACCTCGCTCAAAGCGGGTCTCCTCGTCACCCAGCAGCACATTGCCTCGGAAGCATCGGCAGAAAGGGTTGAGGGTGTAGGGTACTAGGGTATGGAGGTTTCAGAGTATGAGGGTATAGGGCTGAGGATCCTGGGGGTTTGGGGTTGAGAGTGCTAGGGTTTAGAAGTTTAGGGTTTTAGGGTTGAGGGGTTTAGGGTCTTGGGGGTTTAGGGTTGAGAGTGCTAGGGTTTAGGGTATTGGTAATAGTGCTTCGCGCAGGGGGGCTTCGGGTTAAGCATGATGATCCTTGTGCGTCTTCTGCTTTTGTTTCCAGAGACCTATACTGAACTTAAAACCCTAGCAAAAATTATGACTTTAGCTGTTTCTTAGGGGTTATAATAACCCCAAACTAGAAATTATTTCTAAGTACTCCTAAGAGACCTCAACCCCCAAGGTCGCAGCAGTGAACTTGCGGGTTTTGGCTTGAGGGTTTAGCTTTGCCTAGTGCACCCCTAAACGCTCAGCCCTAAAGCCTAAACTCTAATCGAAAACTCAAGGGGACTGCTCCAGGTTGTGGTGCCCTTTGGACCCTTTCAAGTTATCGCCGACCACCACTTCAAGTAGGTAGGCCACAGGAGCCTTGTGTAACAACCCCACCTGGCAACGCCCGAAAGCCCTGAACCGGAAGCAGCAAAGCCCGAAACCATCAACCTCCAAACCTTAAACTCTGCTTTCCCGCTCTGTTCTGCGTCCTTGAACTACTGTGGGACCTGCTTATGGGTGCTGGAGCGCGCAATGGGTGGGTCCCTGTGAACACACCTAAAGCCTGAAACCCTAAGCCCTAAACCTTCAAACCCTGAACCCTGAGCCCCCTAAAGCCTGAAACCTCAAACCCAAAGCTCCAAACCCTAACCTTCAAACCCGGAACCCTTGGCCGCTAAAACCTGACACCCTGCATGATTTAGGGGCCTTAATAATTAATACTGTAGTGGAGTAATAATAAGGAACCCGGGCTCTTTAGTAGTGGAGTTCTACTAAGGAACCCTAACTTGGGGGGGGGCCTTGATAATTAGAATAGGGCTTCGGGCTCTTTAGTCGTGGAGTTATCATGAGGAACCCCAATAAGTAATCTTGGTACTTATTCCGGCCCCGACATCAATACAGGTCAAAGCACACTGGAAGGTTCCCTTTTCTAGCCGAGACCTGGACGGCTGAAGCGGCGGCGAGTAGGCCGCAGCTGCGGCGGCACCTGAAGGCTGAGGTCGCAGAGATTGGGTCCTGCTGGGCTTTTGCAAAAGTTTCGAGTCTGCTAAACCCCTAAACCCTAAACCCTAAACCCCCAACCCCCAAACCCCAACCCCTAAACCCCAAACCCTAAACCCTAAACCCTAACCCCTAACCCCCAAACCCTAACCCCTAAACCCTAAACCCTAACACCTAAACCCTAAACCCCAATAGGGATTCAGGCGCTGGAGGAGTCTGGGGTTCGAGGCTCCCAAAGGAAGGATCCCTCCGGCGGCCTCTGGTACCATACGGGCCTTTTCAATAGGGATTTTGCGGGGTTCCTTGTTATATTCATAGTAAAATATACCCCCAAACCCCGGTCTAGTTGATATAGGAGTGGTTAGAGGATTCGATCTTGAGAACGCCAGCGCCTGCATGAGTTCGGCAGCGCCAGATCTTGGACCAGGTCGTCGCATAGGCGTGCAGCTGGGTTTCCTCAGGTTCGCAGCACCCGAACCTGAAATTCGAAGCCCAGACTTCTTTCAAAGGGGAAAAGGAGGGACCCTTAATTTAGGGCTCTTAGGGTTCCTGTAAAGGGTCTATAAGGGAAGGGGAAAAGGAGGGACCCTTAACGGGGACCCCTACCCTATAATGGGCTATATAATGGGTATATAATAGCTATACTAAGGGTATATACCTAGGGGTCCTTATTAAGGGTCCCTCCTTTAATCTTGGATTCTTACTTCTTAGGTTTAGGGTTTAGGGGCAATACCAGCAGAGCTGTAGATCCTAGACCCGAGGCAGCTGACCTGCATAAGACCTCCAACATCTTTAGAAACGTCTTGCGGCAGGCCTTCTAAAATCTGCGTGTAAACCCTTGGCCTTCGCAAGTAGGTTGCAAGTCGGGATATAAGTACCTTAATTGGGTTTGGGATTCGAGGTTTAAGGTTACAGTTTAGGGGAGATGGGGTTACTGCACATAGCCCGAATTTAAGCCTACTTTCCGCAAGTCCAGTACTGACCGGGCTGAGGCCACCACCATCAGGTGGCAGTCCTGATGACAACTCAGGGAATCCAGGGACGACTTTACCGGGATCCTCATAGCTTTTGAAATAGGGTTAAATAGAGCTTAACCAGAGTGTACTTCGGGAATCAAGGGACTTCGCAGGTAGGCTAAATAATGTGTCACAAGTACAGTAACCCCAATTATCAAGGTGTTTTTGCAAACCCGCCTACAACCTACTTACCAAGTCCCGCAATCCCCTATAGGGTCTGCATGGGGTTCCGGCGTCCTGGAGGCTTCGGAGCTTGCAGGTTGAGGCTTTTGGAGTTGGGAATGAGTCTGGCTTTAAGGGTCCGAAGTTCAGGGTTTGGGTGCAACGCAACTGACTCTTCACGTGTAAGTCTGATGTGAGATCCCTGAGTGGATAACCAACTCCCAAAACCTTAAGTGCGGCATCTTCGCACCAGTAGGTTCTGTTCTGAGAGCCCTGCAAAGTGATCCTAGCCCTAAGTCCCAAGCCTAAGCCCTAAGTTCAAAACCAGCAACCCAACACTCCAGGTGCAACCCCTACATCCTAAACCCCCATAAAACATCTTATGCCAGGGATGACAGGGGGATATAGAGGGCCAGCAGAGATGACCGCGAAGGGAAAACCAAGACCTTGATTACCTTGAGCTTGTGAGGCCCGGGGTGTTGCAAGGTTTGGGTAGAATGGTTCATGATGGGAGGCCAAAAGGGGGGTTTAAGATTCTTGGGGCAGGGATTCCTTAATATGAACCCTATTATGGGAACCCTAATCCCTACTACACCCCCATATGCTAAAACCCCTTTTGGCCTCCTATGAGTTCAGGGTGCAGGGCATTGAGGTGTAATGGTCAGGGTTTACAGTATCGGCGAGGTGCATGGTAACGGGGTAATGATCGAACGAACGTGAAGGGGACAAGGACACCGTTAACAGAAATCCCGCAGCAACGGAAACCACAGCAGAGCTGTAACGGAAACCAGCAAGATGGAAATGGAGACCCTCAACTCAGAAACCTCTGCAGAAGAAAATATTGGGGGGGGGTGTAGACACGCGGTATCTGTTACATGGCCTACTCGTTCAAACAAGGCTTGGAAAGGCTTAGAGTTGGGTTCAGCATTTATGGTGTGGCGATTCGCGTGCCCACTTTCTGTTGACGACGCTTCCTCGGATCAGGGCTTAGGTGTTTAGAACATCAGGGTAATGTAGGGGCCTTAATAAGCACCAATACTATTTTGGGGGTTCCTTATGTTAACTACAGTATCATAATCCCTCAAAGCCCTATTCTAACTATTCAGACCCCTATCTTAGAGAGCTTCCGGGCGTCCTTGAGATCCGGAAACTCGGAGAAGACCTCCGGGTACATCCGATGCCCGATATCCTTGGAGGATCATGGGACTTAGTAAGTAAGGTTATAAGTACCTTGATTGGGGTTATAAGTATAGTTACCCTAATTATAACCCTTGTTACTAAGTCCCATGATCCTTCAAGTATCCATCTCCACCGGGCCGGAGCAGGTGTCGAACTCGATGCTCGAGACGATCATGGCATTCGCAGCAGCATGGTGATCGATGGGCTGCGCGAAGTTTCGGGAGACAGTGACGGCAACCTCTTCGGGGACAAAAACGACTAGGTGACTAGCTGACTACACCATGCTGCATACCATGTCAATACGCGGAATACAATGCTTCGCCGTAACAAAACTAACCCTGATTCGGGGGCCTCATAAAAATCGAGCTTCTATGTGCCCAGTAACGTGTGCTCTGCACAGATCTTGTGCGGGCAAAGCTACACGCCCAAATCCTGAACCCCACAATCTCAACTCTGGCTCCTAACAACCTTAACACATATACCTTAGGCCCTGAACCCGAAAACCGTGAGCCCCAGACCTTCAAAGCCTCAAACCCTGCACCCAAAAACTCCGGCCTTAGTGCCACCCCAGGGATCGACGCTCCACCGCGCCCGAGTGCCAGTCTTTCGCCAAGGGTCAGTGTTCCTCGGAAGTTGAGGCTTGGGGCGTACCTGGAGGATCATGGGAATAGTAAGTAAGGTTATAAGTACCCTAATTGGGGTTATAAGTATAGTTACCCTAATTATAACCCTAGTTACTAAGTCCCATGATCCTTTAAGTAGTGTCTGGGAACCCTTCGCTTCAGGGGTCTGGGGTCCCGGTTTGGGATGGAAGGTTTCAGCTGACGCCGTCCACCACCAGAAGTCCCCACGAGCGTTGCTCGTGTTTGGGCCATTTCCAAGGGCGAGCGACGCATGGTGGCATCGAAAGTTTAGTGCGACTTGGGATGAGGGCATCAACGCCCGAACCTTTCCAAGTGTCGCTTGAAGTCTCTTGTCCCGAAGTCTCTGCACTCCAAGCACGAGGAAAGCACCAAGTGAACAGATAGCTTCTCGACTATGCACAGGTGCAACCACAGCCCGAACTTGTGGCAGCCAGCTGACCATCAACCACAAGCTGTGAGAAAACAATGTGACCCCGAAACGTGCCTTTTCGTGCTTGGAAAGTGCTGGCCCCAGCCAGCAATTCCTGCACCCGAAGCCCCGCCCAGCACAAATACAGGCGTACCGAGCACGTGCTTTCTGCTTTTTTACACCCCGCCGCCCCACGATGCTCAAAAACCCTAAAACAACCATACTTTATCTGAAACCAATGAAATCCTCAAGCGAGCGCTGCGGCCATGCGGTCGCTAATAATGCCAAAAACAAGATTAGAGCTTAAGGGTTCTTGGCATCTCTCGATGCTGCCGCCCGGCAGCACGACTCTGAGGCACTGCATCTCCACGTCAAACTCGAGGGAACAGGTCAAGCTCCGGAGAGCACTGGTGGGGACTTGCCTGGGCTCTTTTTAAGGAGTTGAGTTCAGGTTACCATTATTCGGCAATCGTTTGATTTCCTATATGTCCCCATTGTTACATAAACCCTTAACCCTTAAACCCGTAAGCCATAAAGCCCTAAACCCTAAACCCCTAAACAAGCCCGGCTGCAGGCTCACGTGAGCGCTGGAGGCCAGTGGAACGAGTACCTGAAGCCGCAGAGCTCATGCGAGTGCGGGGCTGGGGCTTTAGGGTTTAGGAGTCGGTGGGTTTGGGGTTTAAGTTCAGGGTTTAGGGTTTAAGTTTAGGGTTTAGGGCTTGATTAGGGTTTAAGGTTTAGGGTTTAATTTGGGTTTACTGTAAGGTTTAAGGCTGAATTAGGGCTTACGCTTTAGGGTTTAGGGTTTGGCTGGCTTGACTTGAAGAAACAAAAACCCTAAACCTCGAAAGCCTTGAGAGCTGCAGGCCTCGAACGTGGACGGTCCGACAAAGCCCACCACAGCGTCGCGAACCCTCTTCGAAGAGCAGCGTAAATCTCGCATCATGGAGATCTGGCGGTAGATGAACCCGGCGAACCGAAGTCCTTGCGAAGCGCATGGCAAAGCTTTGGGCGTTTTGCTTGAGCTCCTCTTCTACGGCGCCCGAAGGTCCCGAGCTAAGGGTTTAATGACATTAGTCCCGGCGAAGACCCCAAACAGTATTGACGTAAAGACAAGAGAGACACATGTTATAGTGGTCGTTTACAACAGCGAATAAACTCAAAGCAGCGATCGGCACGAAGTCAAAAGTCGTGCCTGCATTAACACCTTTGCAGAAATCTGTGACGGCATAACGACCACGAAAGCAAAGTCAAAAATCGAAATTAGATTGGTGCCTGGACACTGGCCACAAGTGCGTAAGCATCCGTGACAAGCCAGATGCGTTTTTCAGGGCTGGAAAAATGCATTTGCCTGTAGCTTTCTACCGACGGCTAAATTGCGTTCTGTCGGTTGCGCGGAATCTAAGGCTTTGTGCGATATTTATTAAGGAAAGCCATAGAAACACAAGAGCATTTTCGAAAATCAAAGGATTTTGGTCGTTTCCGATAAGCCCACAGCAAAGAGACACATGCCCAAATGCATTTTAGGGGGCTGGAAAAATGCATTCGGATAGCTTTCCTTGCAAATTTGGAGCAGATCTTTTGGCTGCTTCCGACAAGCCCACAGCAAAGAGACACATGCCCAAATGCATTTTGTTCCAATTTTGGCATTATGTTCCAAAGCTGGAACATTCGGACTGCACAGGCTAGAAAACCCAGCGTGGATGGTACGAATGTCGGGCCATGGAAGATATGGACATCATGCTTGGAAGTGGGAGGGCACCTCTGGGGGGGGAAACAACCTAACCTAGCACTAACGTAACCCTAAGCCCAGCTTCCCCTCATTAGGGGACGGAAAAAATATAAAACTAAACGCTGGGCCCTAAACCCGACCTAGCCCGCTTTCCCCTAAAATTTGGGGAGCAAGGCCCTAAACCCTATGCCGGATTTCCCCTGCAAAATTGGGGACCTCGGCGAAACCCTACGCCTGGTCTCCCCCTTCAGGGGGCCTAGTCAGGTATGTCCTAAACCCGAAACCAAGCCCTGAAACGAAACCACACCCACACGCAAACCGCAACCCTATGAACCGGGGGGGCGGGGGGCGAGTTGGGAGGGAGGGTTTGAGCCAACACAAACACGCCTATATACAGAAGCATGGGGAGGCTTCAGTGCTCGAGTGGGGTCATACCACTGACTAGCGATATGGTCGTGGGGTCCCCGTACACGCATGTCTCTGCAATACTGGAGTGGCCGTAGTAATCAGCTCACAAAGGTCCACTGTGCAAAGGCTTTCGGCAGACGTAGACAGTCATCCACGGCATGCTGCTGAGAACTTTCTTCTTTTCTTGCGGAGAAAAGGCTGTGGAGATGATGCACCGATGGCCAGCTGCGACTAGTGTTCTTCCCATGGAACTGCTACGTGGAGTTTCTGCACTATACCCGCTAGCATGTCTACAAGGCACATTTCGTCGAAGATTCCTAGTCATCACACTGCCGTCCACACAGGGGGGATGCCGACCCCGTCTGTCAGGGGTTCTATAGATGAGTGACGAGCTTTGCTACGCACTGGCCAGCTCGAAGTGCGGCCTTATGCTCGCCGATCTTCTCCTCAACCTTTTTGCGCGCGAGGAACTCCATGAAGTCGCTCGAGCCGAGGTCATCAAACTTCTGCTGGAGGGCATTGATCTGCTGGACCAGCGTCTCCAAGGCTTTTTTCCCGCTCTCCCGGTCAAAGTGCTTGACCTGCCGTGCCAACTCCTTGCCAGTACTCCTCGGCGATCTGAGCCTTCTTGGCCTTGCGTTTCTTGGGGGAAGGGGTGAAGTCCATAGCGATCGCTGGAACCTTCGCGGTGTAGGCGCCGCTGGAGCTGGCTCGCTTCTTCGCTGTGGCTTCCGCCCTCTCGACGAGGCATGCGGTGAAGAACGACACGACATGCTTGGGAGCCGTGGGGTTGTTCATCAGAGCTTCCTTCGCTCCCTTGACGGCCTCCGATACGGTGACATCCTTCAGCCCGGCTGCAGCTTTGCCCTCGACGACGAGGGCTGCGGATTCCAGCAAGGCATTCAAGCCCACCAGGGTCGTGCCAGTCCTCCAGGGATGGAATTGAACCTCGGAGCCCATCTCTACTGCAAGCAAGATACTAGTGCCCCCTTGCTGAAACCGTCTCCTGGTGTACCCTGCCGCGAAGAACTGCCACTCATCCAAGATCTTCCGCGCAAACTTCAGGACCGTCTTCACTGCTTGCTCCACCGTCTCCCGGGACCTCTCCAGGGTGGGATAGTCCGCCAGGTTCAGAAGGTCCACATGAGAGGTCAAGTCGAAGGAGCTCCAGAGGTCCTCAAGCTATTCACGAGCTTTGCGCCGAAGAAGCCTGAAGCCAGGCCTTCCTGCAAGTTCTTCCGCAGGCCCAATAAGGATCCGCGAGCATACTCACGCCAATGGCCGGCCTGTTAATGAGCTCGCTGCGATCCGGCCGCAAATGCTCCTCGGCGAACAAGGCCTGTCTCGGGCTTCTGAATGCCGAGTACACCGGCATTCGTCTGTCCTTCGTCGTTCTGCACGACAGCGCCGAGATTGCGAGCCAGCGACTTATGCAGGGGCATATGAAGATCCCAGAGTCGATCGCCTTGCTTCTACTGGCGCGGGCCGGCGGCACGCGCTCCTGCTCCCGTGGTCTTCGGCGTGACGAACCTGACGCTGGCTTGGAGCGAGTGAGAGAGAGGCGGGAAGGCGGCAGAGAAATCTGATCCAAGAGCACTGGCCAGCGGCGTGGTTTCAGGAGTCTGCAGATTCCCCAATCCTCATGCTTCTTCGACCCTGGCTGCCTACTCGGCTATCCGGACGCTCTAGCGTCGTGCACTTCGAAGGTTTTTTTGTCGCAGGTCCTGACCGCTCCCGCTGCCGTGTCGCAGCGCTCATCGCCGCTGCGCCGGCAGCTGGCTCGCACCTCCTGTGCTGACACAAGAAAGGTCTAGCCCCTCCTGGGAGAAAGCCGTCTTCCTGCACGAGAAGAACCCTGTCCTGGAGGAAGACTTGTCAAGGTCTGACAATCCCCCTGTCCTGGAGGAAGACTTGTCAAGGTCTGACAATCCAGAAATTGCAAATTCCCTTTTTGCCACAGTTTCTATCTCAGGTCCTATCGCAATGCTGGAGGGGTCCTAGCAGTTCCAGTTTTTCTCTCTCTGCAATACTGGAAGGGTCGCAATAATTACAGCTTCTTCCTCTGCAAGACTGGAACGGTTGGAGTAATTGCAGTTTCTCTCTCTTTGCAACACTGGAACGGTCGTGGTAATTGCAATTCCCCTCTGTTTGCAATAATGGAGCGGTCGTATTGATTGCAGTTTCTTGCTGTTTGCAATATTGGAGCGGTCGCAGCAGTTGTGGTTTCTCTTTCTCTGCAATACTGGTGCGGTCGCAGTAATTGCAATTCCTATCTCTCTGCAATACAGGTTCCAACTTTCCCTTTGGCGGGCTTCTGACCATGTTCCAACTTTAGCCTCCGAGATCAAAGTTGGAAATTTTGGCTTGGGGTCAAGCTGCTCCTGTGGACACGCTTCAACTTTCCGACTTCCACCATAATTAGGTTGTTTGCTATTTTCAATGGTTTTGAACTAAAAAGACAAAGGTGTTTTTGCTATTTTCAATGGTTTTCAATTGTAAACAGCAGAAAAACCAATGGGTTTTCCACTATTTGCAATTGTTTTCTGTTGCAAATACCAAAAAAACATAGTAATAGAATCGTTTCTGGTTCATAACAATCCAAGACCACGAAAGCAATGCCAAAAATCGAAATTAGATTGGTGCCTGGACACTGACCACAAGTGCATAAGCATCCGTGACAAGCCAGATGCGTTTTTCAGGGCTGGAAACATGCATTTGCCTGTGGCTTTCTACCGACGGCTAAGTTGCGCTCTGTCGGTTTCGCGGAATCTAAGGCTTTGTGCGATATTTATTAAGGAAAGCCATAAACACAAGAGAGTTTTCGAAAATCAAAGGAGCATTTTGGTCGTTTCCGACAAGCCCACAGCAAAGAGACACATGCCCAAATGCATTTTAGGGGGGTGGAAAAACGCATTCGGATAGCTTTCCTTGCAAATTTAGAGCAGATCTCGTGCTGTGTCGAAGCAAAAGAGGAGGCAATGTGTCCTTCAAAGCACATCCAAATGCGTGTATCGAAGCAGCTAAAATCATGGTTTTCAATCGCAAATACAGAGAAACACATAAGTTTTTTGCCATTTTGCATGGTTTTCCATTGGAAATATTAAAAACACATAGCTTGTTTGCTGTTTTCAATGGTTTTGAACTAAAAAGACACAGGTTTTTGCTATTTTCAATGGCTTTCAATTGTAAAATAGCAGGAAACCAATGAGCTTTCCGCTATTTTCAATTGTTTGCTGTTGCAAATACCAAAAAAAAACCATAGGTTTTGTCTTCTTTTTCCATGGTTTCCTATTGTAAATACCAAGGGAGCCGGCTGAGAGCACGGCAAAATATTGCTTGCTTGCAGCACCACCAAATGCATTATTCAGGCCTTCCTGACTAATAGAATAGTTTATGCTTCATAACAATACAAGACCACGAAGCCATAGCCAAAAATCGAAACTACCACCCACCCAAACTTCGCGGGCCCCCAGCTCCCGAGCGCGTGCCACCCATCCAAACTCCGCGGGCCCACAGCTCCCGAGCCGCGTGCCACCCATCCAGGGCCCCCAGCTCCCGAGACGCGTGCCACCCATCCCGCCAGGCGCGTTCCCTTTTCTTTTGAGGAGAGGACCACTTAACAGTTCCTGTTTGGGGAATTACTTACAACCTATGCACTAAGTCCCCGATCCTGACAGAAGTATTCTGAGCCCCGGGCCGTCCAAGCGTGCGTTGGTGCGATCTACCTGAAGCTTGGCTGGTGCAGATGCTTTCAAAGATTACGAAAAGCTTTCTCAAGCCATCTCATCTCAAGGATGTTATATGCATTCCTGAATGCTTTAGGGCTCAGGGTGTAGAGTGGAGGGTGTTAGAGATTGGGCTTCAGGCTAGGGAGTTCCAACTGCATGGTCTGGGTTTAGATGAAGGGCGTCGAGTGTTTCGGGATGTTTAATGCTTCGGGTCGAAGATTGGAGTTCCAGGGTTCGGGGTTCAGGGCCCTAACTATGGTTCCATCACAACACAGTGTAGACCTATGTCTAAGAACCTCCTTCCCAAGAAACAAAACGACAAGGATCCTACTGGAATGGTGCTCAGAGAAGGGGTGGCCTCTACTGTTCCTTCCAAGCTTCACTGACTCTACGAAAAACACACACACACACACACACACACATTCGATCCTGAACCTTTAAACCCTGAATCCTAAAACCCGACCCCTAATTACAACCCATAAAGGTAGCCTGAAAGACGCCTCAAAAAAAAAACTCAGACTTAAAAGCGTCCTTACAGGATTTTTACTACGGTAGTCCTTTTAGGACCTACTCTAAAAAACGTACCCTCCCCCCCCCCCCCTATAGTACCCTCATGATGCATCTCCGCCACGGTCTCCCGCACTTCCTGCGCCGTCGGCCGGAGCCAAGTCTGTCCCAGCCCGGGCTGCCACCCCAGGAGCCGCTTCAGCAGCCGCTGTCCCAGGAGATCCTAAGTTCCTTTTCTTCGGGGTTCCTTTACTAGGATACCCAGTAACCTAAGAATAACAAGGCCTCTCTTTTTGGTAATGGGGTAACTTAATAAGGAACCTAAGACTACAAAAAGGGAATAAGGGTACTACTGGGCATCCTAGGGGTTCCTTTAGGGGGCTCCTTTTTAGGGGTTCCCTTAAAGGGATCCTTTTAAGGGTTCCTTTAAAGGACTCCTTTTAGGGGTTCCCTTGATTTAAAGGGTTGCTGTAGGGGCTAAGAGTTTTGGTGTTGGGGCTTGGGGATTTTAGGGTTTGGGGCTTTAGGGTTATAAGGGTTTAGGGCTGCAGCGGAATCCTAATCCTACCATGAAGCCCTAAGCTCGAAATGGTCAACCCGACCATAATGCCTAAGCGAAGCCCCTTACACACCCAGCCCAAAGCTGAAAGCTCTTACACCCTACATGCCCCGAGAAGGATCGCAACCGGGCTGCGATGTAGCGATCTAAGGGCGCCGAGACGTGGAAGAGCCGCGGGCGCTGGAACAGCGATCGCGGCCGCCGGGCCTCTTCAGCTGCGTCCTGGGTTCGTGTGAAGAGCGTTAGGTGGAGTTACCCGGACATTTGCGGCCTTGTAGGGGGTTGAATCTGGGCTTTTAATTGATGTTTGGGATTCAGGGCGAACGCAGTGAATTTAAGTTGGGCTGTCCTTGTCATGACATAGCTTATAGAACCCTTCAGGAAACCCTAAAAACCTTTTATAGAGCCCTTGAAAGGAACCCTATTCTGTTTGTTAAGGCCCCCAGTAGAACTAGATTCAGTTCCTGAACGAAGGCCCAAGCTGCCTGGCAGCGATAGAAACCCCCCGGCAAGGCCATCCGCACCTTCATGGATATGGGATAACCCAGTTGAGGGTTCAGGGTTTAGGATTTGGGATAACCCAGTTTCGGCTTTTTTGGGAGAGTTTAGGGTTTCGGGTTTTGGGGTTTTGGGTTTAGGGATCACCCAAAACCCAACCCAGCACGCTCAAACACCAAAAAGCCTTGAACGCCAAACTCTTCAACCATCACTTAAAGGATCATGGGACTTAGTAAGTAAGGTTATAAGTACTTTCATTGGGTTATAAGTATAGCTACCCTAATTATGACCCTAGTTACTAAGTCCCATGATCCTGTAAGCACCCCCCCGCAACCTGAATCCGGACCCAGACCTGGAAAAAGCAATGTTGCAGGATTCAGGGCCCGAGGCCATGTGGGTGGTTGTCAAAATTATGGTCCCTCTTTGGGTCCCTATTATAATACAGCACGTATGATTTAGGAATTTAGGGCACCCAAAAAGGGACCACAATTTTGACAACTGCCCATCTGCACCTGACGCAAGAAGGCCTTCTGAAGAGCATACTGCTGAATGCCGCTGAGGTGGTCCTGTGCCCGGAGCAGCGTTTGAGGTTTTATTGCTTTAGTCCCGCAGGGCTTTTAGGCTTTCGGGTTAGCGTACACGTGCATAGAGTCGAAGGCGTCTGTGCAAGTAACAAGTATACCCCATGCTAGGTTTCATTCTTGCTGAGCCTGAGGCCAAGCAAACCTCGCCCCACCCTCCCGAATCTATTTTATGGGGTGCTGCATGCCGTCGCGTTAAAGGAATTCCGACAAAGGCAAAGGTCTACCCTAAACCCTTGACCGCGTTGGGAGTCATGTAGGGCCTCCAAGTAGCCCACTGCATTCGTGGGTAAGGATGCCTCAAAACAGTCTCGATACAGGTGCCGTCAACTTAGAAGAGGCTCTGCGGTTACTTACACATATGGGTGGTTGTCAAAATTTGTGGTCCCTTTTTGGGGTACCCTAAATACTAGGTGCCGTATTATAATAGGGACCCAAAAAGGGACCCTGATTTTGACAACCACCCATATGAGATCTCGTCACTAAGAAGGAGTCGTTTCCCTCGCATAGTCTTCTGACCTCCCCCCTACAAGATCCTCCCAGGAAGTGCTGCCTTGTCCAGGGCCGAGGTCAGGGATTCCAAGACCTCGTGGGTGCTGATCCTTGGCTGCCGAGTCTATAAGCTAGAAGGAAGTTGAACGTTCAGGTGAATAAGTGAGTCCTAATACCCCAAAAGTCGAAAATACAAACTTTCAGTTTTAGCGGAAAGTTAAGCCCTAGACCCTAAACGATGGATATTTCACTAATTCAGCGACGAGGGATCCCGGCGGAAACGACGCCGGAGTGATTCCGCAGCAGCCGATGCAGGGACCGGTGGTGCTGAGCGTCTGGCTTCGTATAGATCCAACAGGGCCTGGGCTCGTACAGGAGCTTCATGTCAGTAAAGCGGGGTCGGAAGAACCAGTGATCAGAAATCCCCTCATAACCGTTATGACCCTTTAACGCCTGCATGAAATCTCAAAGCTGCCCCAAACAAGGAGGAAAGCTCCCGACTCTACTGGTAACTGAGCAAACTAGGCCCTAGACCGACCCTAAAGCCCTTACCCTAAACCCCTAAACCCTAATCCCTAAACCCTAATCCCTAAACTCTAAACCCCTGGACCCTAATCCCTTAACCCTAATCCCTAAACCCTCATCCCTTAAACCTTAACCCTTAACTGGAGCTCAGAGGCATGGATGACCTCTCGACGTCCTCTTGGAGGAAGCTCTGCCAAAGCGCCGCATCGGCCAAGATGTGGCCGGCGTACCGGTTCACCTCTCCAAGCTCTCTCTTTTTGTCTTCTTTGAAGGCCCTTTTCCGTCTCCGAGCTCCCTTTAGGGTTGAGGGTGTTTTTTTTGAGGGCCTTTGGCGTGGGTTGAGGGTTTAGAGTTTAGGGTTTAGGTTTTTTTTTAAGTGCAGTGGCCTCTTCCTCTCCGCCAAAAACGAGACTCGGGTTGAGGGTTTAGGGAGTTTGGAACATCAGTAAGGCCTTAGGAGTATATTGTAGGGTTTAGAGGTTTTGGTTTAAGACTAGCACGGCTCTCCTTAGGGCTTATATAGAGGTTTAGGACGGTCATATATGGGGCTTAGAGGTTTAGTTTAGTGCGGCTATCTTCGGGGCTTCAAGTCTTAATACGGCTGGGGTTCATTACCCGTTTTCGATCTAAATCTTTTCAGCTTAAAGGTTTTGTTTAGGATCCACGGCTTAGTTTGGCCTAACATGGAGGAATCTCTTTTATCCGAAGATCCCTCCTTCAGTCGGAAGACCTCTCTTACCCAAGCCCTAAAGCCTTAACGATGACCTTATTCTGGGTTCCTGTTGGGGGATTTAACTTAAGCTACCATAACAGGGATCTATCGTAAATAAGATGGTTTCCTTTCTCTGGTAACTTATATAAATCCCTGAACAAGAACCCAGTATTCCCCTGATTCCGGGACACCAGAAAAGCGCAGCAGCCCACAATCCGCCGTGCCCGCAGCGTCGCCGCCACCGCCGGATCTCTTAGCCCCACCTGGTCGCCCAAACTATGTCGGGTTTAGGTTTCAGGGGGCCGAAACCCAAACATCCCAGAACCCTAAAATTGCTGCGTTTACCGGTTCCTGTCAGGAGGGAACGTGCTTACATGGTGTTGTTGAAGGGCTCTCCCTCCGAGCGTGTAACCGGTAAACCCATGCCGAAGCCATCTTTATTCGCGAAACCCTAAACTCTAAACCCTACCTTAAAACCCCCAAACCCGAAAACCTAAAACCTGACCCCTCACCCCAGACCCTAAACCCCAAACGCAAACTAAACCATAAAACCCCAAAAACCTAAACTCCAAAACCCACCCAAAGAAACACTAGCAGGACACCCTGAAACTTCTGAAAATCGAGAACAACCCTTAAACCAATCTTGTGGCCCAAACCTGCGGATCCCAGTGTTCCAACGGGAAGGACTCGCCACTCTGAAACGCTGCGGCCTAGAGAGGGGCGTGCAGCTTGAGGATTCAGGGTTTAGGGCTTGGGGTTTAGGATTTAGGGCATAGGGTCGAGAGTTTAGGGTTGATTTGAGCTTAGCTTTTGAGATTTAGGAATTAGGGTCGAGGGTTGTCTTTAACTGCTCTTTTTCCTCCAATGTCTCGGGCTGAGCGTTTTTGGGCTTCGGGCGAGACCTCTTTGGGTGCGTAAGAGGTTGTTTGTTTTGAGAGCTCGTTTCCGTCTGCACGCGGATACGCCTTACGTTCGTGTATCACTGTTTCGGGCCTGGGGCTTGCTTAAAGGATCATGGGATTTAGGAACTAGGGTTATAATTAGGGTAACTATACTTATAACCCCAATTAAGGTACTTATAACCTTACTTACTAAGTCCCATGATCCTCGAAGTACGGTCTATAGGGTTTGGGGTTTTGGGTTTGGGGCTTTGGGTGTGGGTTCCAGGGGTTTGGGTTTCGAGTTCAGGGCATGGCTCTTTGAGGGGTATTAGCTTCTAACCCCCACACTGTAATAGTGACCATAAGGATTATATCAATTTTATATTAGGGCCCTATCCTATTATACCACTATTACAGGGTGGGGGTATTACCCAGTTCCGTCCAGGTTTCCTGCTTCGGAGCCCACAGTGTGAGCCCTGAATCCTTCATACAGGGACCCCCTGATTTGGGCCGCAAGGCTCAAAACGCCCAAAGGAACCGGAGAAAACCCAATACCAAAGCCTAAACCCTAAACCCTAAACTAAACCCTGAATCCTAAACCCTAGACCCTGAACCCTAAACCCTCAAAACGAACGTGAGGCAGCCTCCAGCTGCAGAGCAAAGAGTGACAAGTCACCGAGCAAGGAAGCCACATCTTCATACGCTCTGCCGGCGAGGCATTCCTGTGCTTTCAGGGGTTTAGGGTTTAGGGGTTTACGGGTTTGGCATTCCTGTGCTTTAGGACATGTCGCGTCTAGGGTCTATTTTCGAAGCTCTTCGGATGCTGCAAGTCTTGCGCGTTTCTGAGGATTACGCCCAGCTAAGCAATGTCTGCCCTGTTTTCGAAACTCCCCGAGGCTCCTCGGCCTCTGCGTAGCTGAGCCGCCGATGGCACCTTACTATGGACTCTGCGTGGTCGATGGAGAGAGGCGGCGCCCTCGGGTCCCGAGGAATGGTGAAGGTCAGGGCCAAACGCTCGGAGGCATCTGCAAAGCCCACCTGGCGCTGGCCCCGAGCATGCTCGGCGCGGGTTTAGGGTTTAAAGCCTTAGGGTCAGCCGAAACCCCAATGACCCTAAGACTTTCATCGCTCCACATCCCGCTGAGCTGGCCCCGAAGACGATACCCACCTTTTCAAGGAACTCCGGCTGCAGCAAAGGGAGGCTTGCAGTGGAGGGCTGGTCCTGCACAGGCATTCTTCGGAAGGGGTTCAGGGTTTTCTCCTCTATTTATGGCTTTATTGTTTTGGGACCTTTCAGTAGGCGGCGAGAAGCATCAGGTTCTCCCAAGCTCTGAAAGCCCCCGGGCCGCAGCTGGGTCTTAACCCCCTGAGCTCTAGGGCTCAGGGTTTTAGGACCCTACTTGGAGGATCATGAGATTTAGTAAGTCAGGTTATAAATACCTTAATTGGGGTTATAAGTATAATTATAGCCCTAGTTACTAAGTCCCATGATCATTTAAGTAACCCCACATAACAGGCCCTGAACTCCAAGCCCCAAGCGTATCCCTAAAGCACTATATGTTACTAAGTCCCATGATCCTCCAAGTAGGGTTTAGCGTATCGTCCAGATTCCCTAAACCCCCACTCTCTCTGCAGGTCGTGTCTCGGGTGCCACCAGACCGGGCCTAAGCGCTACTGGGCCTCCTACACACCACCGAACCGAAAAATGCAAGACAACCCAAAAGAACCCTAAACCTGCATAATCCCCCTTTCCCAGTACAAAAAACCCTAAAGCCTAATCCCCAAACCCTCAACCCTAAACCCTAGTCCCCAAAACCCCAAACCCCCATATTATCCCCAAACCCAAAACCCCCAAACAAGGAGTGGAAGGTGTCCAGGTGATCCGCCAGCCACGCGCTGCAGGCCCTCCGGCGCGCCTGGAGCTCCAGGTCCTCTCGGCTCGGAGACGGGTTGAGGGCTTAGGAGCATTTTTTGGGGGGGCCCTTAATCATTAGAATAGGGTTCCTTTTAAAGGGGTCTAGGGTTACGATGAGGGGTAGTATGGGGGTTTAAGGGTTTCAAGGGTTTAGGGCTTTCAGGGTTGAGGCTTCAGAGAGGAGGGCTGTTTTGGGCTTGGCTTGGAGGATTGCTGCTGGCAGAGTCTGGGAGTCTGATCTGGATTCTACGTGGTTGTGCAATGCTTTCGTTCACAAGGGTTTGGTGCAGGTGTCTACAACGTGTTCTGTGCTGCATTCTTGCTTAAGGCATCTTCTAATGTGTATCTATAAAAATTTAGTCGCTGCTTAATGCTTTAGGGCTTGGCGTGGCTTCGAGACTGTCAAACTCCCAGGTCCACTCCGACGTGCAGCTGGCGGTAGCAAGGACCCTCGAAGCTAGACTAGGGCTTTGGTTTTAGGGTCAACACAAAGAAGCATCTACCGCGAGGATTAGGGGTTTGTGGGACTTTGGATTTGGGATATCGGGGTTTGAGGATTGAGTGGTCGAGGTTTCACGGATTAAAGGCTTAACGCCTGTAGGATTGAATAGCTCTGGCTTCTGGGCAAGGGGCTCGGATTCGGATGTAAAGTGAAAGCCAGAAAGATGGAATATGATTATCCTAAACCCTTTATGGTAAATTATAGGGTATCCTACCCTGAATCCATATTCCAACTTTCTGGAGTTCCCTTTAAGCTTCAAGTGAATGAACGCTTTGGAGCCTGAACCCCTGAACTGCCCGGGGGTTCAGGCTTTGGGCACTGCGATCTGCAAGCTCTGGGCAGCACTGAGGGCTTGGAGCATGGGGCTTACGGAATGTATCGGTATAGGCCTCAAGCTATGTAGGGCTAATAAAGCGGCCTTACTAATTAGAAACGGGCTTTGGGGCCCATTTTGTACCATCATTATAATAAGGAACCCCCAAAATAGTCTAGGTAAATATTGAGGCCCCTACATAAAGGCAAGGCTCAAGCTATGAAAGCTTGGAGCTCCGGAGAAACCGGGAACATTCGGGAGCCTTGCCGGACATGTCGTTGGCCATGTAGGCGGTCACATCCAGGACGTGAACCTCAAGGCAGGTTACTACAGGGGCCTTAGTAATTAGAATACAGTTTGGGGTATACTACACCATAACTAGAATAAGGAACCGCCTAAAATAGTACAGTTTGGGGTATACTATACCATAACTAGAATAAGGAACCCCCTAAAATAGTACAGGTAACTGCTTGAAGCCCTTATGTTGCAGGGCTTAGGGTTTGGGGACGCATCCTCAATGAGACCCCGAAGAAAAACAAACTCCCTCCTTGCCTTCGGCATTCAAAAATGAAGCTTGCGGGTTAGGATTTACGCTGTCTTCTGTGCCCAGTCACTACCTTTCACAAAGTTGGCAACCGTTTCGAGACGACGACTTTGAGAGAAATCCCGCAGGTACCCAGAGACGCCAATACCCCTTAACTAAAGAATATTCCTTAAATCATATTAAGGATCCTACTATAATTTAAGGTATATTCCTTAATTAAGGGGTATTGGAGTCTCTGGGTAGACAAACCGAAGCCCAAGACAGGTGCTCGACCCTAGGGTCTAAAGTTTAAACCTATAGGGAACTCCAGAAAGTTGGAATATGGCTTCAGGGTAGGATACCTTATAATTTACCATAAAGGGTTTAGGATAACCATATTCCAACTTTCTGGCTTTTACTTTAGGCCTTTCGTGCAATAACATGAACCGTAAAGCTTAAACCCCAAGGCTGTAATAACCCCGTATAAGCATCCTTATCCCTGCACGTCGTTATCGTCCTTGTTCGTAAAGCTTAAACCCCAAGGCTGTAATAACCCCGTATAAGCATCCTTATCCCTGCACGTCGTTATCGTCCTTGTTTCTTCCTATCGTTTTTTCCATGAAACTAGCGTTATCGTGTTGTTATCGTTTTTTTATCTTCTTCTTCTCGTTCTACCATAGACAACAATCCAAACCCCAACAAGGACATGCCAACACCAAACCTAAAGGCGCGGGGTTATTGCACAACTCCAAGCCTTAAACCAAACCCTGAAATGAACCCGAACGATTAAAACCCTAAGTCTTTCACCCAAAAACCCTAAGGCCAAGGGCATCGTGTTCTGTCCGTGTTTCGGCCATCACGAGATTGGAACTTTGGGCAACATTCTCGAACTCAGGGCCGTATGGTGGAGGGTTTGAGGTTGAGAGCTTACTTAAAGGATCATGGGACTTAGTAACTAGGATTATAATTAGGGTAACTATACTTATAATCCCAATTAAGGTACTTATAACCTTACTTACTAAGTCCCATGATCCTCCAAGTAGGGCTTTATGGTTTTGGGGTTTTGGGGATCCAGGGTGTCAGGTTTTCCCTTTAGGGAGGCTCCCCAGACATCGCTGGGATCGAGTTCTGAACACAAAGTCCTGAGCTCCGAACCCTGAATCCAAGCCCTCAGCTTTAAACTCAACGCCGTAACGCCCTGAACCCTCATCCCTACACCCTCAACCCAACTACTACTGTAAGTCTCTAAACCCCAAAACCCCCCTGCAGTACCCTCATGATCGTACCCTTGTTATGGTACCCTTATAGTGGCCCTACATCTCTAAACCCCAAAACACTAGACCCTCAGCTGAATGACCCCCGGGCCTGCAGGGCCTGCTCTGTCAGGGACAAGGCGAAGTTCCCCGGCCACCCGGGATGCTCGATACCTTTGGGGTTCAGGGCTTAGGGTTTAGGGTTCAGGGTTTAGGGCTTTAGGGGTTTAGGATTTAGGGGTTCAGGGGTTGTGAGTTTCGATACCTCGTGCTTTTGTAGGGAATACAAAGTTCCCATCTAGTCTCGATTCAAGTCCTAGGGTTGGCGTGATGCTTCCTTGATTGGACCTACACAACAGAGCACTAAGCTCGATACACACCGCCAGATGCTCTCGCAAATCCTGCATCAAGGGGCTTTACGTTGTAGAGCTTTAGCGATAGGGGTTAAGGGTGCAGGGCTTCAAAATGTAGCATACAGTACAGGTTTGAGGCTGCGGCCTTTTGATGTTAGCTGAAGGTAGGGGCTTTTGTGGCAGATCTTGCGTTTCGCGCTTCAGGAAGGACAGAGGCAGTGGTCAATAACCAGAACCATAAAGTCAAAACAGGAGGCTTGAACGAATCTCAGTGGTCTAAACTTGCCAATATGAAGAAAGCTTTCCTGACAGGATACTGAATGTGCTTGAAAGCCTCAACCCCGCAACCCTAAATCCTAAACCTGCAGCGGGGGTGAAGTCGGTGCGCAACCGCTGACGGTTCATTTATCCAGTGCTTCAGTTCACCTCACCTCATACAACTGCAGCGACTACTCCTGGCACTGCGACTACTACGTACTGCTGCTACTGAAAGCGGAAGCTACTACTACGTACTGCCGCTACTACGACGACGACCGCCCGTCACCACTACCATCCCGTGCTCGACTCCTGACGGCGGCGGCTGCGCTGCACTAGCTCCTGGCTGGGAGACGTTAGGACCCAGTCCGGGGAAGGCAAGAGCAAGGGGCTTGGTTCAGGGGTTTTTGGGGGGCTTGGTCCAGGTTTGCATAGCATCCTTGCCCTTGGGATTACCTTCTTGCCTTCCAGCGGCACTTTGGGGATCCGGGGCTCCGGCTTACGTTCAAATCAGCGAAAGACGAGGATGCAGCATTCCGCCGGTACCACGTGTGCAGCCGAACTGCTGCTCAACGCACAGGATTGCATGATACCCTCATAGGGATGAACAGCCCGGAAAACTCAATCACGAGTTGGCAGGACGGTGGCCTACAATGCTACAGTTGTGTGTGCTAGCTTGTGGGCGCTTTCCTAAACTACAACTATGTAGCCTCGGTAAGGGCATACAACTATTCCGACGCCTATACTATACCCCCTAAGCACCAGAATACAAATAATAGTTCGAATTTTAATATTCTATTGTGTTTTCCTAAGGAGACGGTGGTATACTAACAGATGTTGCTTCGTTGCCGTCCTGGTGCTGCACATCGCCGATGGGGATGGAGCTGAGGACTGAATGATCCTGCCGAAGGATGTAGGGTCGACCGGGTTTTTCTGCCACAGTTTAGGGTTTAGGGTTTGGGGGTTCGGATTTAGGATGTAGTGTCTAGGGTTAAGGGTTTACGGCGGCTTGAGTTTCTTGCAGGCTCAGGGCCTTGGGTTCAGGGTTTAGTGTTCACGGCTCGGAAGGAAAACCGTCTCCGTCTCTCCCCTCACAAGGTGGACACAGGCCCGACAGACACTGCTTATCGGATAGGGCCCCCCAAAAAAAAAGAGCAAAAAATAGGATAGAGATCTCCCATATAAATCCCCTTATAATGAAGCCCAATAAGGTATGGATATCCCCTGTAAAATGCTTATGCTTATGTGCTTTTTTGGCCCCTAATTAGAGTCTCTTCTGCCAGAGGAAGTTGACGGAAACCCCCTTTGCCATGCTCACGGCGTTTCCTTGTCGTACCTTTGATTCGTAGGGAACGGAGGAATGGGGTACAATTATAACTACCATTACTACCATTCTTCCATTCCCTACTAACCAAAGGTAAGTTGTCCAAGAAGGAAGAGGAAGGGAAAGATGCTGCTGGCGTCCAACCCTACCCAACGATCTGACCATCTGCTTGCCCCGACTATCTGACTATCTACGGCATACATCTTTCAATGCATCCATGGAAAGCTGCTACTTGCCTTCGTGATCAGAATAGAGTTTCGGGGCCCATTATACTATAAGGAACCCCCAAAATAGTATAGGGAAATATCGAGGCCCCTATATTACACCATCCCTGTGACGACACGAACGGAGCCTCCCAGTCACAGAAGTTCAGCGATCGCTTGATGGCATACAGCACCGCGTCGTCGGTATCGCGACTTTCCATGTGAAGCACTTCCTGGCTTAGGGTTTAGGGTTTAGGGGTTTAGGGTTATAGGGTTAAAGTTTAGGGTTCAGGGGTCACATGGCGTTAGCAGGAAAAAGAGCAGAAGGTTGTGGGTATGACATGCCATCATGAGTGCATCGGTGCTGTCGAGACATTATATCACTGCAAAGTGTGGCTCCAGACTCTTGCATCGTGTTATATGATGTCAGCTTATGTTATATGTTACATGAATACTTCTTAGCATACTATAAGGGGCCTTGATAACTACCTATACTATTTGGGGGGTTCCCTTTTATAAGTATTACATAATATGCCCCAAAACCATATTCTAATTATTAAGGCCCCTATATTATTCTGTGATAAGACAGAGGACCTCGTGGCAGCCGAGCGGAAGGTGACCCGTCCAGCTTTGGAGGTCAACGATATGGAGGTCGTGAAGCGATGGAGGCGGATTCTGTGGGTTCCAAGGCACCGTAATCCTGGGTTCTTGTTAAGGAGTTTATTTTAAGTTACCTTAGTAAGGAAACACATTATCTACTATAGATCTTTGTTATGGTAACTGAAAGACAAAATCCTTAACAAGAACCCAGAATCAGGGGAAACTTTCCGTTGATGGGGCGGAAGCACATGCTCTTCAAGCTGCGCACCAGCCGGCTGCGGACACAGACCACCCTGCTTTGTCGCGGGCTCAATTGCTGCACCGAGTGCAGCACCTGCCCGAAGAGGACGGTGGCATCCGCCGTGGCCACGTCCCAGGGACGCAGGAGGTCCTCCGAACGGCGCTGGCGCCGCGACTTGGCGGCCTCGTCGAGTTCAACCCTGGCAGCAAGGATCCGGACCCAGCAGCGGTCATGGTCCCAGGCACGGTTGCGGTTCATGGACCCGATCACATGCACACGCCGGCCCACCATAGCCGTAGGACCCTGGTCCACAACCATCTGCGCCCGGGACCTTCGGTTGCGAAAGTCTGAGCCGGAAAGAACACGGAAGGTGCCAGAAACCAGGCGGCTCTTTAAGTCCCCTACTGTCACCACGTCGGGTTGATTCCGTAGTTCCGCCAGGAGCTTCTCCAGCTTCGCAGCCTCCACGGAGGGCGGCTCGACGTCCTCCCAAGCTTCGTCTTCAGAGCCCATGTCGCCATCCTCCGAGACGCTGCGGAAGGAATCGCTTCCCTCATCTTCCAAAAACATATCGACGGGAGCCTCGCTCGGCTCCAATTCCTGCGCCGTTCCTTGCCCGGCTCCACTTCCCGTTTTACTCGCCGGGCTCGTCGGGCTGCTCCGCGCCGTCTCCTGCGGCACCGACTGCAGAGACGATGGCGGAGGTTGTGGCAACGACGGTGGCATCGCCGGAGGCTGCGACGGTGGCCGTGCTAACGGCTGTGAAGAGGGCGGCAGTGCCGATAATCCGGCCTGGAAAGAACATCATGACGCCTAACCTCACCACTAGCACGGCTTTCACTGAAGAGCAGATTCTCCTCTACAAGAAGTACGCCTAAGGTGGCGCTACCGTCACACGGATCAAACACCATCTCACCGGGTTCCAGCACTGCCTCCTCTACTCGACCTACCACAGCACCGAGATCTGCCGAAGATCCTCGCCTCAGTGGCTTGAAGAGCAGGTGGCTCTTGCGGTGGAGGTCTCGAGGGCACCGAGGGCACCGGGCCTGTACCCGACGAGGGCACTGAAACGGTCCCCGAGGGGCTCCCGCCGGGTCCTTCGCGCGGCCGCAAGTGCCTGGCCCACGCGGACCATCCTGCAGGCTTTTCGGATGTCCGGCGCGACAGGGGTGGGAACGAGGCGTCGTCCTGCCAGCAGGAGCTGGTTAGTTGAACACTCCGATGTTTGTAAGGCTTGAAGCTTATGGTTGATGTGTTAGGGTTCGTTTAACCTCATGCTGTCTGCTTGCCTATTCCTGTACCGAAAACTTCAGGGATGGCTACGTACAGCCATAACACATACTTACTTGTAGGTCAGAAACATTAGAGACAGCTTCGATGGCCTTTGCTGCAAAGACGGCCTGTGCTTGTTTGGCTAAATACTCCTGAGTATCGCCCTTGTTGCCGTTGCCGCTGTCGTGGTTGTAGTTGTTCTTGTTTTTTTTGCGTGTGTGGCTGTGGTTGTGACTATGGTTGTAGTTGCGATGCTTGCTTGTTGCTGCTGTTGCCGTCGGGCTGATATTCTTGTTGTCGTCACCAGATGTTATCAGAGCTGTTGCTATCCCCCGCAGCGTTGTTCTTGGTGTTGGCCTCGTTCCGTGTGAATCAATGCTCCTCAGGCCAAAACCCTAGACTCTAAGACCCCCAGGTGGGCCAAACATGCACAAAACCCGTTATGTGCAGGCCCGGAAACATTAAGCCGAGGCGAACAATACTACAAAACACCCAACTAAAACAGTAAACAAGTGTAACAGTGATGGTCATGATGATAATAACAACAACAAGAACAAAACGAAAAACAAATCATCAAGAATACAACATAAAGATCAGATAATAAACAAGAAGTAACAAATCATAACTGACAATGAAGAAAAAATTAAGCATAACTAAGAATGATGATGATGATGTTACTAATAGTAGCAATAATAGTAGTACTAATAAAAATAAGAATAACAACACAAAAAAACGTACATACACAATATGCATCATAATGAAGTGAGAATGAACATGGTAATAATCTTAGCAAGTAAAACGCTATCAAACACAACAAATACGTCGTAGTAACACAAATTATAGTAGTATTAGCAATAATGGTAATAACAACAGTTACGTCATAACAAGAACAATACTAACAGTAATAATGAATAGTACTGAGAAAAAGAAACACATGAAAGTTGCTGTAAAAGTTATAAACCTGCAATAACACAAAAAATACTGAACATAGTGATAACAATAATCACAATACTCATAGTAACAAGAATAGCAGCAACAACAACATCAATCACCCTGATATTTATAAACAGAATACGAATAAAACTAATAGTAACAATAATCGCAGCAATGATAAATACAGAAAAAATGAAGAATGATAATCAAAAAAACACACCCTGCGATCGCTCCTCCGCCCGAAAGGCTCTCTGCTCAGGAGTAGGCTCCTGCCATGGATTCCGTGCTTGGGATGATGGGTCCTTTTAAAGGGTACCTATAAGGACTACTATAAGGGATCTATCAGGGTACTATAAGGGGTTCTATAGTGTAAGAAAGTTGGGTGGCTGTCAAAATTAGGGTCCCTTTTTGGATACCTTAAATATTAGGTGCCGTATTATAATAAGGACCCCAAAAGAGGGCCCTAATTTTGACAACCACCCAATAGAAGGTGTAGGGATTAAGGTTAAGCTCGAGGCTTGGGATCTTCAAAACCCTAAACCCTAAACCCTAAACCCTAAACCCTAAACCCTAAACCCTAAACCCTAAACCCTAAACCCTAAACCCTAAACCCTAAACCCTAAACCGCTCCGGGGGCTCCTGGGGCTTCGGGGGCTTGAGGTCATGGCTGGGGCTCCGGGGTTGTGAGAGCAGAGGTCTCCCAAGGCAGTGGTCTGTTTAGGGCTTAGGCTTTAGGGTTTCGGGAAGGTCTGCATAAACTTACCTTCAGTTAGTAGGGAATGGAAGAATGGTAGTTAATAGTAGTTATAATTGTACCCCACTCCTCCATTCCCTACTAACCAAAGGTAAGTAAAGGCTTCAAGGGTTGCAGTTTCTGCTCATCTCGTTGCGGCGGCTCCTCGGAGGCCACAGCCGGCGGCTCCGTGGCGGAACCTCGAGGACCGGCTGCGTGAGCCTTGAAGTTTAAGAGCTCAAGGGTTAGGGCAAGGGTTTAGGGTTAAGGGTAGCAACCTCACGTGAAGCCGGCTTTAAGAGCTCAAAAGGTTAGGGTAAGGGTTGGCTGTAAGGGTAGCAACTGCCCGTAAAGCCAACCCTTACCTTAATCCGGGTTGTCTTTGGCTTTCTCTAAGGGTTTCCTATAGGGTTCGAAAGAGGGTGTGAGGCTTCCCTTAAAACTTCTCTAGAAGGTTATATGAGGGTTTCTATAAGGAAAGCTTTTGGCTAGGGTATCAGCCTCAGAGTGTAGTGTTGTCGGGCTTAGGGCGCCTTCCACGAGCTGGAACCACTTTAGCCACCCAGGCCCAGACTCGCGAGACTTGCGACAGATGAAGCCACGGAAGTACAAGCTAAACCCTCATTGTTTCAAGCCGAGCCTTCGACAAAGTGCATTGCAAGTTTCAAGTTCCTGTTCAAACGCTCGTTTTTAGAGGCTCGCTTCAAAATGCAGGTCGTAGCTTTCCGTCAGGTTTACATGGGAAACCCCTTTGGCATCCAGTTTCGAAGGGCTTCAAAACCTGGGCCGCCTTGTGTTTGGGGGTGTTCCATGCGAAATCTTTTCTGGAGTGCAGTTCCGAGGCCAGGCTTCAAAATTTTGCGTTTCTTGGCAGCTTCGTGATTAAAATGAGAACTCTTATTGTGGCAGGAACCTGATATTATATTGTATAATATGATGTGGGTCAGCCGCTGCTGCACTGAGTTCATGACATCGCGGGGCAACTCGTTCTCCGTCTCGGGTCTTTCTTGCAACTCCTGGCCCAACACGACCGTAGCACAAGGATGCTGCACTAGCTCTAAGTTCGAAACAGGTAGCAAGAATCAGTTTTTCTAGAAACCTATGTTGTACCAGTTCTAAATTCGAGCAACAGGTAGGAAGAATCGATCGAAACTATGGCGCAGTGCCTGGCCTCGACGGGCTGTAGGTGCGAGAGTTGCCCAGCGGCGGAGCCTAGTTCATGGTTCGGATAGGATGAAAAACGTACATGTGTATTCCTTATTGGGTTTAAGTACCCTTAAAAATGTAAAATGCTACCCTAAACCCTAAACCCTAAACCCTAGACCCTACACAACCATGACAAAGGAGCCCGGGAAGTCCGAGGCCACGCTTGGAACCAGCTGCGACTCAGTCAGCGCACGCCGGGGGCCCTCGGGCCCAGCGAACCAAACGTTTGATCCTTTCCTGGGCTTTGAGATAACCCGGTAGAAAAAAGCATAGTAGACGTTTAGTTTCATTATAGTTTAGGAACAGGTCCCCAAAAAATGCAATAAAAGCATGGTACTCCAGAACCCAGTTTCGGGGTGGCAGGAAAGGACCCTGCCTTGTCCAGCTCTGCTGCACTCGAGTCCGGCACATTTGGCAGCATAGACACCTTGAATGGGGTTTGGGTGTTGTTTTTTTTTGGGGGGGGCATTCAGGCTTTCGAACTTTCGGGTATTTCGAGTCGATACTTAACCAGCTCCTGATCGATCAGAAAAGTTCCCCCCAAACCTGCATAAACCTCAATGCCTCCACTTGCAAAAGGTCCGATGGTTTCGAGTATCGGCTCTGAACGAAGATGGCTGGGATAGAGGCTTCATACTACTCCGGGAAAGCTCATCTTGACACATGGAACTGCTTGGAGGATCATGGATGATCATGGGACTTAGTAAGTAAGGTTATAAGTACCTTAATTGGGGTATCCCCCTTGCTTAAAGCGGAGGGGGGGTTCAACAGTGAAAGCTGCGCTTAAAGACGTCCCCCCTCCGTCCTCCAGCTCAAGGTGGTCAGGGCTCACCCATGCGTGGTCGCCGCTGGGCAGTTCCACTTTCACCAAGCCATCGCTAGCGGTCTCCAGCCGGCGCACGGCTGTGCCGCTCAGTAAGTCGAGGCGGTCAGCCCCAGCTCCAACGAGAAGAGGAGCACGAGGCGCCTACAGATCCAACAGTGAAGGCAGAAAGGCGCACCTCACAACCTTCAGTTATTTCGGAAGGGGGATATTGAGGTTATAAGTGTAGTTACCCTAGTTATAACCCTAGTTACGAAGTCCCATGATCCTTTAAGTGTGCGAGGTCTTGGCACAGCTCAGAACGAAAGTAACAACATTCGCGGGTCGCTGGATCTGCGTTGAAGGAAAGAATACTAGAAGGTATGGTATGCAGCTTCCTCACCGGGCAGAGATCTTGTGCAGATGCTAAATCCCAGCAACCTCCCCAGGACCGCACCGCACCAGAACCGGGCGTTAACAGTATTCAAGTCGCCAAGTCATTGTAGTACTCTTGTTTTGGGCTAGTGCCGTGCGCACAAGGCCACAGCTTCAAACGCAACTTAGGCCTCCGCGTCGACGGCTGTCGCAGGAATCTCCAGGGTTGATGGCTTCGGCAGTTTCCCTGGGAGTGCGCTGGGCTTCTTCTTGGCCTTTCGACTGGATGCAAGCATCGCCCCCGGCACCTCATTGGACGTGTGGGTTGAAGAGTTAGTAGGGTTTAGGGATTGGGGGTCTGTTATTTGGGAGTAACCGTTCATAGGTCAGGAGATAATGGCATTTCATATAAGGTCCTTCTACGCCCCTGCTATGCCACTATCATTGTGTGGGGGGCTACAGGGTTTAGGTTCAAACATCAGACACACAGATGTTGAGGATTCGGCCTTCTTGGTCACCTCCGCTTCCTCTTCTTGGAGGAGCCGTGCTTCGTCCTTCTCCTTGACATCCTGGGGTAACGCTGGGGGAAAGGCAGGCCTGCAGTCGGTCTGCCTGCTGCGCTTCAAAGGCACCGCACTAGGCCCTAGCTGAGGGTTCACAGGGTGACCAAGCAGCACGTCTTCTCAAAACACACAACTTCGAAGAGCCTGAAATTTCGAATTGAACGGCTGCGGCAAGCTAGATCCCCCGAGGCTTGCTCGGTTGCAGGATGGCCTTCGCATGATTAGAACCCCGAGACCGTGTAAAGGCCGAACAGGTTTCCCAAGAGATGCTGAGTTGATGCAGGCCGACAACGAAAACCTCATACTCCCATACTTCAGGGTACTTTGCGTGGGGCGGAAATTCGTCCACCTGGCATACGTATCAGGCAGCCCCAAGCCCCTGGCTGCCAAGCTTCCACCATTGAACAGAATCCTAGAGCTGTTGGTCCCATTTTGGAGTTGTTGCTCCCAGTTTGGGGCCCCACGGCACCTCGTCAAGAGCTGCTGCTTGTCCATCACAAGGGCCTGCCAAACTGCCAAACCCTGGCAGCCCTCTTTGGTCCAACAGACGACGAAAATCTGGACATGTGATGCTGCGGCCAACACGATGTCTACTCCACTTGTGGAAGTGCCAGCGTTGCAGCTGAAAGACTCGATTCGCTGTCACATTATCCATGGGATGACTGTTCTCCACATCACAGGCCATGACATCCAGAACCATCATCCTGAATCTCGTGACCTTTTCACCCTAAGCCCTCGAGCCCTGAAACACTCATATACACTTAGGTAAAGACAGGGTCTTCTCAGAGGGACTCAGTTTGAGCATAGAGATTTCTGGCAAGTATTAGCTGCATGTACTTTGCTTCCGATGCTCTCTTACGCGAGACTGCGCAAGGAGACTCCAGATTGACCCCAAAGCCGAAAATAGATAACTATAATACATGTTCTATACATACATACATACATACATACATACATGCATTAATACATACATATACAGACGTATGCAGACATACATGAACTACATCCGTACATACATACATGCATACATACATACACATACGGTTTTTTCTGAGTCTCAGGCCTCCGGGGCGAGAGTTGAGAGTTCAGGGTTTTAGGGATTTCCCGGCATGAAGGCCCCACATTAATATAGGGCCCTTAATAATTTGAACAAGGTTTTGGGACCCAAAAAACAAAATTTACGCTCAGGAACCCCCAAAATAGTATTGGTCCTTAACAACAGGGTTTTGGGGCCCATTATGCTATATTTACAATCAGGAACCCCCAAATCAATACTGGTCATTATTTAGGCTCCTACGTCAGAGCACCACACTCGCGAGGAACGGCCTGGCCCTGGTTGGCCGAAAGGGACACACCATTCCTCCCACAGCTCCCCCAGGCTAAAGGCATTTAGGGGTGGGGATCCTTTAGGGGTTCATTTAAGGGTTCCTTCTAGGGTGTTTGGGTTCAGGGCTTAGACTTTATGGGTTTAGGGCTTCGTTGAGACTTGAGGGTCTTGGGGATTCTGCGTTCAAGTGCAGGGTCTTCCTGGCCCTTCGAAGACCTTACCCGTTTTAAGGACTCCTGTCAGGAAATCATAAGAAGGATCCCCAAACGATGGCAGGTTCTCTTACGGTTCAGGCAGCGTTCAGAACTTCAGCCCCCCCCCCAAAAAAAAAAAAAACATCGGAACGTAAAAGGAAGGTTCCAATAGAATCTCCGATGGGGAAGATCAGGCTCCGCTGCCCCAACTTGGGTGGATTCTGGGACTTGTGGTCTTAAGCCTTGCACTATTGAAACCCCTAAACCCTGAACCCCTAAACCCTAGACCCTGAACCCCTGAACCCCTAAACCCTACACCCCTAGACCCTCAACATTAAACAAACCTTCAAAGCCAGGATGCACCCTGCCCTCCTCCCTTCAGAACCTGAAACCCCGAGGCCCTCAGCCCCCTAAACTCCAAACCCCGAAACCCCCAGCGCTGAACCCTGAACATCACTTGGAGGATCATGGGACTTAGTAAGTAAGGTTATAAGTACCTTAGTTGGGGTTATAAGCATAGTTACCCTGATTATAACCCTCGTTACTAAGTCCCCTGATCCTTTAAGTAGACCCTAAAACCCCTCTTATAATAGAACCCCCATAGATCCCTTTATAAGGATCCCTTTAAGGAGCCCTATAGTTACTAAGTCCCCTGATCCTTTAAGCAAAATGCCACAACAGGAACAGGGCTCCTGCTCGCGGCGGAAAAGTGGCCTCGGAATCTGGCTTGGGCACGGAACCGCAACCCCCAAAGAGGCTCTGCTTATGGCTTGGGTTCAGGGTTTGCTCAGATTTTGGGGGGTATAGGACTTGGCTTGATAAGATGATACTCTGCCGCAACGCAGCACAATGCGAGAAAGGAGTGTGCCAAAACGTGTTCTATTGTCTCCCGACCTGACGGCTAACATACGGGCCAGAAAAGTTTCGAGAAAGGAACTGAGTAGTATTGGTAAATATTACGACCTCCATTATTCAGACTCGAAGCTACAGGTGAGGTGTTGAAGGCTGAGGGTTCGGGATCTCGCCCCAAGCCCCGAACCCATAAACCCTAGGCTTCAAACCCTCCCTAAACCCAAAGACCTCTGAGCGTATGCACTACAGTACAGCGGATCGGATGTCATCGGATAGGCTTCAGTCCGTCGGCGGAGTTCGCCCTAAACCCGTAACCTTCAACAATCCGGGGAGTTGGTGTTTCAGGGCTGAGGTAAGCAGGACTTTGGGCTTGGAGTTTAGGTTTGAAGGGGCCTGTTTGTCAATACTTACAACATGGTTGATGTGTCTTGTGCTATCTATCTATCTATCTCTCTCTCTCTCTCTCTCTCTTTCTATCAATTTATCGATCTATCTATCCATCTATCTTTCCAGCTACATTCTATCTATATGTGTATGTGCTTGTATATGTATACTCCTACATACACCTGTACATACATGTATTGGGGAGCTTGGAAGCAGAGTATTCAAAGGCCTTTCTACTACTGTGGGGCCTTAAATAATTAGGATAGGGTTTTGGGGGGGACAGTATGCCAGAATTATCGTACGGAACCCTCCCCAAAAAAAATGTATAGCTAATTATCAACTATCCCTTATAGACCCCCTTGAAAGGAACCCTATTTAGGCCCCTATGTCCCCAAACTCCTGTCCTGAGTAGGAACTTTCTCTGCCGAGGACCCAACTCGCCCAGGTGCCATGCCTCTGGACGGTCGCCGTGGGGCATAATGCCACAGCCTTGGGAGGAGATGGCTGTGCTTGAGGGGCGAGGAGTACATCGAACGTAAGAGACAGCGGAGAAAATGGATGTTAAAGGCTCCGCAGAGCTCTGTCAAAGTCCCATAGCAACCCCATCGAACCCTCATAAAGCCCTCCTCCACTCCGACAATCGAGGCCTTTCTGCTTGAAGCCCAAGAGGTTAGGGACTTGGGGCTCGCGGCCTTGGGGTTCTCATGCTCGGGTTTGTGAAGGGGCTCTATAAGACTTTAAGGGCTCAAGGGTTCTATAAGATTTCTAAAAGGGTTCTGTGAGGGTTCCATCAGGGGTTCTATAAGGGTTCCTGCTACTGTTGCTTGCTTTGGGCAGGCTTGATGAACGGCATTCGCGCTCCACGTCAGTTGCAGGTAAATCTTGTTGCGTCCCATGGCAGGCTAGGTGCACAGTGTTCTCAAGCCGGTGAGCCGTCACTGGTGCGTGGGGTGCGCCCGGAGTTACAGGGCATGTTGATTCTGCATGTGTCGTGCTTGTGTTTGCTCACTTCTTGCTTGATTGATGCAGGCGCCTTTAGCGACTCTTTCTGTAAAGGTACTCCGAGATTTGAGGCTTTTTCTGCAACGGTAGAGCCTACATGAGGCTACACCCTGCTCCATCGACCTCTCAACCGGTAGATATGGGAGCCTTAATAATTAGAATAGGGTTTTGGGGCCCATCATACTATACTTGCAATAAGGAGCCCCCAAAATAGTTTAGGTAATCATTTTAGGGCTTAGGCTAAATCCTGATTAATAATGGCCCTTATAGTAGCCGTTGTAGACCCCTTCAAAGGAACCCCCAAACAGTATAGGCAATTTTGAAGACCTCTATGTTACCCCCAACTCCCCAGCCCAAGGCGCCATAGCACAGCTCTTTCGTGGTGCTCTTCGCCGCGCGGTACTTCGCACCTTTCGGAGGGTTTAGGGCTTTGGGGTTTGAGGTTTAAGGTACTTTGGGTTTAGGCTTAGGGCTTTAGGGTTTAGGGTTTTGGGTTTTGGGATTAGGGTGGATTAGGAACTGAGCCCGAAACCCTCAAAGAGAACCCTCGGTTCCTTTGTGGGAACCCGTCAAGGAAACCTTTCAGCAACCCTTGAAGGAAACCCTTATGGAGGCCCACCCCCATTGGAATTTGAACTCCAAATCCTAACGGTGATAAGAACCCCCAACCCTGAACCCCTCAATCCAGCCCGTACAGAAACCCTCAACCCGAAACCCTGAAACGCTAGATATTTGGGAACACCAAACCCTAAACCACTCAATAGGAAGCCTTTTAGCACACCCTCTGTGGCTTTCGGATTACGGCGTCCCAAGCACTGATCTCCGCGTCGTCCTTGTGGAAGATCTTGCAGAGGACCTGAGGACAGGTTTGGAGTGTAGGGCTTTTGTTGAGTTTGTATGTTGTTACTTGTTTGTGGGTGTTGTTTAGGGTTAAGGATTCAGGTTCAGTGTTCCAGGTTTAGGACTTGAAAACAGCTGCAGCTTTAGAATTTAGGCTGCAGGGCAACGGATTCTTAAATGGGCAAACAGTGACACTCAGAGTGATGGTGTCACGGTGATACTGAAGGTGACAGTGACACTTCAACCCGACACCCAGGCCTTAAGACTAAGAGATACAGTAATCCCCATAAAGTTGGAAACCGGATTAAGGCCAAATAGTGCTGGGATTCCCTATGCAGTACTCTTAAAGATTGAGGCTATTGGGTTTCCAACTTTTGGGCTTCTACTGTAATCTTTCTCGAGACAACCCAGTCACCTTCAGGGAGCTCTGACTCTGGAACACTTTTCATCTTAGATCAGGCACCTCATTTTGGAGTCCCTGGCCGCCGTCGTTTATAGTTTATGGCTGGGGCACGGCTTGGGGTTGAGGGTTTTTTAGGGTTCAGGGAATCGGACTTTTAAGCGCTCATATGAGGGGCTTTTATGTATAGTCTATGGGTTTCCGGTTTAGGGGCATGGGACCTAAACGGGCAGGAGGAACAATCCTGACTCCATCCGGCCTTGAGTACTTCGTGCCCGCACAGAGCTTGGTACATCTTCAGCGCAGCCAGACGCCGGTTGTTCAGCGAGAACAGCTCGAGGTCCCCTTGGCAGCATCGGACTTCCGAATAGCCGGATGAAAACATCGACAAAGGAACGCGATGAAGACATCCGACGCCCCAAACCGTCACCGCTGAACTTATGAAAACACGACTCAAACCCCCGAGCCACAATGCCCTCTCTCGTCCCGCAGAAGCTCGGCCGCGCACCGTCCATTACCACCTGGAGCCGGCGGGCAAAGTCGAGGATAGTTAGGTAAGGGGTTTATGGTTTATGGGTTTACCGTAGGGGTTTAGGGTTGAGTATTTTGTGAAATGTAAGGGAGGTTCGGGGCTTGATTCCTACGGCCTGAACCGTAAGCCGTAAGCCCTTCTTGCACTAAACCCATGGCTGCTCAGAGTCATTAATCCCAAAGGAGTAAGGACTTTGGGGACTCAGCGGCTTCATGATCACTATTCAAAGGCATCTTGTAAGACGTTAAAGTTTTGGTGTTTATGGGTAGGGAGTTTCGATTTAGGGTTCAGGGTTTACCCAACTGGTGTACGATCCTAGGAAATTTAAGACTGCCGGCTCCAAAAGTTCAGTCTGAGGATTTGGGCCTGAGGAGTTACCGCAGGGGTGTACGGATAAAGATGCGTAGATTGAAACACAGGCAAGCCCACCTCCCCGAAGAAGCACAGCACTGTCACAAGACTTCCGCAACGAAAATGTTGGAATTTGGGCGCAATGAGAACAGCGAACCCCCTTCCAGGGAATGCGCGAGGTTTCGGTTTAGGGTTGAAGGCTCTAGGGCTCAGTTTAGGCTTGAGGCTTCGTGCTCTTGGGGTTTAGATTTCAACGTCTGGGTTTTGGATGGTTTTCGAAATTCTAGACCCCAAACCCCCCAACAGTGAATGCCTGCAAAGGCGGTAGGTCATCCGGCTCAAGCCGGCCCGTAAAAAGATCGTGGACCTCGGGTCACGCTTGGGCTTCGGGTTTTGCGACAAGAAAAGGAGGAGAGGGTCGCTCTGGTCGTCGTGGTCGTCGTGGTCGTATTGTAGCAATAGTCGTAGTCGCAGTCGTAGCCGCCGCGGTGGCCGTAGTCATCACAACCGTCACAGACCTCGTAGGCGTCGCAGTCGCCGTAGTCGCAGATGTCGTGGTCGCACTTGTCGCAGTGTTGTAGTGCCGTAGCCTCATACTGTGACACAGTAGTTCGCAGCGCATTATCGAAGCGTAGCAACGCGGTGGCGTCGTACTGCCGCAAAACATAGTGCCTTCGTCGAGTGCCGTCGTCGTCGTCGTGGCAGTAGTAGCAGCAGCAGTAGTAGTAAAAGTAGTAGCACTAGCAGTAGCAACCATAGCAGCAGCAATAGCAGCAACAGTAGAAACAGTAGCAATAGTAGCAACGGTAGCAATAGTAGCCACAGCAGCAACAGTAGCAAAAGTAGGAATAGTAGCAACAGTGGCACCAGTAGCAACAGTAGCAATAGCAGCAACAGTAGCAATTGTAGCAATAGCAGCAACAGTAGCAACAGTAGCAACAGCGGCAGTAGTAGCAGTAGTGGAAGTCGTAGCATTAGTAGCAATAGTAACGATAGTAGCAGTTGTGGCAATAGCAGCAATAGTAGCGATAGTAACAAATAGTAGCAATAGGTAGTAGAAGTGATAGCAATAGTAGCAGGAGCAGCAATAGGAGCAGTATATACAATAGTAGGAGTCGTAGTAGTAGTAGTAGTAGTAGTAGTAGTAGTAGTAGTAGTAGCAGTAGCAGCAGCAAAACTGCAGGCTTGAACCCCCAAACTCCGAATGTCCAACCCCCAAACCCCAAGCCCTAAAAACTAAACGCCTGAATCCTGCACCCCTTAGCCTCTCGACCCTGCACTCAACCTACTGCTCGGAGTCCAGAGACTCAAGAAAAGGCCCGGGCCATGCTGTAGACTGAGGTGTCCTCGCCGCGCCCGCCGCTGAAGATCATCCGACTGTTGATGGCATTGTGGGTCCACCTGGCTTGAAGTACAACATGCCATACTCAACCACAGTGTACAAAAAATTGTTCAAGACATTTACCATAAGAGGCTCCGAAGTACTGAAATAAGGCCTGAAATAAGCCCCGAAGGCCAAACGGCACAGGAGCTCCGAAAAAAATGAATCTCAGAACCCTAAACCCTTCAACCCAAAATCCTAAAGCTCACACACCCCAAAACCACAAACTCAGAGCCCTAAGCTCTTGACCTTGTAACCCGCTGGGCAGCGCTTTGAGTCCAAATTAGTGTTTTTAGGTCTTGGGGCTTAGGATTCAGGGTGTAGGGCTTTAGGGCCAGTTCAGGGCTCCGCTTTCGACATACACACATACGTACATACATACACGCATAAACCAACGTACACGCGTACAGGCATGCATACATACATTCATAAATACGAGTACATACCTGCATTTCGTTCTTCATTTAGATGGACCTGCTTGTCTATAGGTTTGGTTGTAATTGATTGGTTCTTAATTGATTTATCTAGTTGTTGTTTTTTTAAGCTACATATCGATCACTGTACATAATCAAACCATGTGCCCCACGCCGACACACCCCCCCTGCCCGCCGAACCAAAGAGGGCGCCTGAGGCAGTGGACGGGGACACGGGCCTCCCGGCAGGCTCCGAACACCGGCCGTAGCTGGCGAAGTTGGGTCCTGCATCGCTGGCATGTCAAGTGAAGTCTTCTAGGGGACTTCTGGTGCTCTTCTAGTGGTGCTTGTAGAGCTTTATTCATTCGTGTCGCTGTGCTGTTCTGTTTCCAAGGTTGCAAGACTCAGCAACTAGGCTATAGCAGGTTTTCTGATCTGTTCTTCAGCGCTCGATCGGTTTAAAGGAGTACTGGAAAGAATACTGGACTTCCGAAGCAAGTTCGAAGCAGGGTCAATGAAGCTCCTTATGCGCGTACTTGCAACCTCCAAGTACGATGCCCTCTACGACTTCAAGCGGGCGCAAGCATGCTAAGCACGAGCTTTCCGTGGACAGAATCCTGCATATCCACAGCAACACAACAACAAAATGCACGAGAATTCCGATAGCCTGACATACCTATGGTAATGCAGGACATTGGTCACAATGAACGACAACACCAAAACAGCTGCAGGCCTGAATCTTTGCAGCTCGACTTCCACGTTCTTCGGAAGAAATGAAGGCCGGGAAGCGGCAGGTGCCGGTGCTGGAAAGTCGCCTTTCAGACTTCGACTTGGGAAGCATGACGATAACAGTTATGTCCAGGTGGTGATGTTGACAAACATACCAAGACCCAGACTACGACTACGACAGAACCAGGACCAGGGCATAACACGACAGAAGCTGAGGAAAACACTTATATAATCAACAACACACCAGTGGCAACGTCAACAACAGCCACAACAGTATGAACAAGGATGAATTCTGCTGGCAGGAATGGTATCGATGATCCTCACCATGCAATCGACACCACTGAACAGACCGTTGATAAAAGGAATAGAGTGCAGCAGTGGCTTTAGAAACTGCAACAGCAACAGCAGCAGCAGTGGTGGAGGTAACAACGATAGTAGCGGTGGTAGCGGTAGTAGTAGTAGTAGTAGTAGTAGTAGTAGTAGTAGTAGTAGTAGTAGTAGTAGTCGTAGTAGTAGCTGCTATCAAAGTTGCAGTGACTATAAACATGAAAGCCCAGCAACCTGCTGCAGAGTCCTACAACCCTTGATTCAGACGCAACACCTATAGGGGCAGCCCTGCAAGAGGCTTGGCTTCCTGTAAACCTTTCCACCTCCAAAAGCCCAAACCCTCACAGGCCTTCTGCCCATGCCCCGGGTGGCATGGGCTCGATGGATGTTTGGGCGACAGCCGGTTCTGGAAACAGTTCTGAAACCAAACAATAACCGAAGAGCACGCGGCGTACCTGGCTCTTTCTTGAACCCTCGTGTCTTTTAACCAATGGCGTACCTGGTTCAGGGTTTAGGGCCTTGCACCAAACGGCCTAGCGACCTCGAAGCTCCGAGACTTGCACATGGAAAACGGCTCCGGAGGAACGATACGAGGACTTCGAAAGCAGGCTGTGAGGCAGGGTTCAAAGTGCCTTGATCCGGGATACTGTGCTTCTTGCTCTACTTATGACTTACCAAATCCCCCCATCCTCCAAGCAGTCCCTAAACCCTTTGATGCACTCTGCAAAGCCTTGCAAAACACCGAGAATCCCGATCCATCCCAAGAACCCCTGTAAATCCCCCAGAAAAAGCGTGTAAATCACAAAATCCTTCAAGTGTTGCGCCTTTTGGGGCTTGGGGCTTGAGGGTCTTCCGCTCCCCGTTTCGTTTCATAGCGGCTCCGTAGAGGCGTTGAGGGTGGTCCTGTAAGGCGGTTTTTAACTTGCTTGAGCGGGGTTTATAGCTGCATGTATAGTAGGGGGAGCACAGCTACCCTTCCATGAAATTTGTCGGCTTGTCGTTTAACTAATGCAACACAAACATCCAACGAGAGCGTGGACCTGCGTCTCTGCACTACATGCTGCACGTGCACCATGTATGGAAGTCATCCAACGCAGATTCGAAGCCCAAAGCACATTCAACCGGACACATTTTGCTGACAAGCCGACCACGTCTGATGGCGACATCCGCGACAGGATGAAACATCATGTATTCGATACACTTGCTTGTCAGGCTCCAATGAACTCCACCTTGGCCGGATGAGCATGTCCGGCACCTGCATGGCTTTTGGGGCGGAGGAGGACCACGGCGACATACCTCCGAGGTTCTCACGACAGCCGTGCGCACACAGCACGGCCAACCATGGTAGGCACCTAGTGAGTGAGGCTTCAAATAGCACGCAAGCCCCGCATCGCAGGAGCGTGCCACCTTGCGAGAAGCGAAGCCTATGGAGCTTTGTTCACTTGCAAGAGAACTTACCATGCAAGCACCTAGAGACAGCTGTGGCGTCCTAAGCAGCACGTCTCGTTCTGCAATACTTGAGAAGAGGGCGACGAAAGCTAGGGGAAAGGAAGCGTAGCTGGGAACACGGGGTGACTAGTGAGGCGATGCGAATGACTTGCACGGGGGGGACGTTTGACATGAACAGACTTCAAACAGAAGCAAACTGAGGGACCTTGCGAGGGGGGGGGAGGGCGAGAGACTTGAGGGTAGGGGGGAGTGGCCCCCCCCCTACCTTATCCCACGCGCCGCAACCTTCAAGGAGGGAGGGGAGGGAGGGGGGTGGCGCGCTGCACCTTATCCTTCGAAGATACTTCATGAACGAGGTGAGGGGGCGCAGCGGCACCCCCTGCCCCCCCACCCCCCACCTTAACTCTTGGACGTCCCACCTGATAAGGTGCAAACCCTGTTTTTTCCCTAGTGCCTTAATACAAGGTGAATTGCTAAAGGACAACTCCCGCAAGCTCAACAGAGCTAGCTTTCGTGATTTCAAAGCTCGGGATCGCAAGTTCCCAAACCCAAAGCCGTGGTTTTTGCAGAGACCGCGCATCACACGCGTACATGTACATGCACATAGTCTGCGGTTGTCCAAGGATGGGGGACAGCCTGCAATCCGAGACAGGTCAATAGCTGAAGTTGCGGTTCTTGCTCAACCCCTTCTGCCAAACAACCCTTGGCGCAACTGGTCCCCCTTTTCATGTCGGGCTTTTAAGAGTGCGGCATGAAGATCAGGAGGCCGCTGCAATGCGAAGAGTTCAGAGCCCTCAGAGCCCTGGGAGCAGCTTGCATCCTCCTTGAGTCCACCGCCTCACTGTCATTCGAAGCCGCCGTCGTGGAGAAGACGCTGTGGAAGCCTACACATCCTAACACGGTCATCGAGGCGGAACAGCTTCCTATACATGTTTCGGGTTGCTCCGAGGCAGTTTCTGACAGACAGCAGCCGCGGATCGTGCCACTGGCAGGGTGAAGGAAGCACACCAGCAGGTCACAGAACCGGACTTCTTCTCGACAGCACAACTTCGGAATTGGCAGGATCTGGTTGCAGCCCGTTTCAAAACGAGCGGGAAGTCCACATAGGCCGTACTTTGCCTGCTGGCCTGAGCTACGATGGCTGAATGTGAAGAACGCACAGCTGTTCCTGCACATCCTGCACGGCATGCAGATAGCAGGGTGATGCCATTGAAACCAACATGTTGTCGCGCAGGACACGCGGTGACATTCCAGACATACGATATCATACGATCATGAATCGCGGCTTGGTGCGCAGCGGCATCCGACATGTAGCGGCCATGGATCGTGCTCATGTAAATCATTCCAGTCTGTACGTCAGGGCGAACGTTCGGATCTGCAATGTTGTGATTATTCCAACATGCGCACCGTCTGTCTCGGTGTCTGTCCAGCTGTCCTCTACAAGCCGCCCAGCGACAAGAACGTCATCGCCGAGACCCCCAAGTGATGTCGAGGCTTCATGCTTTCATTTTCCCACTGCATGCATCGTGCGCTACGAGGCAGTCTTCAACTTCCTACCCTCAGCTTCATCATGGTAAATCAACATGCCCGGACATGCCCGGTGGCTCACAGGGGACAACTGGCCACTTGAAGCCGGACCTGACACATTGAACAAGATCAGGAAAGAACAACACCATCATCCTGTGTCGCAACCCTGCTCACATGAGAGCTCTGGTGGACTACATCCTCGTTGAGGAGAAGACTCTCCCTTGGTCAAGATGGTCAAACATGCCTGCAGCATGCCTGTAGGGGCGAGTTCAGGAGTTCCGCGGCGCAGACACAGCCGTCCGGAAGGTCCAGCACAACATGCAGATGAAACTCGGGTGGCACCAACACCTGTGCAGCTGCGAAGGAAAAGACTTGGAAGCCCCTGTGTTCAAGGCTGCTGAGTGCATCCGCCGGGACCAACCTAAGGTAGCTGTGTTGGCTTGAGTAGCTGTGCGTGACGCGTGGAGGCATGGGTGAGCCTTTGAGGAGTGGGTCAGGATGTCTCGCGCAGGACTGCAGGACCTTCTATCTGAGTTGCTCCATGGAATCAATGCTACTCCAAGCTTCAGCCGCTCCAAACTTTAGCCGTCCGCCAAAGGCTGGGCGTGATTTGCAAAGCCTAAAGGCTTTCGACCTTGCGAAGTGAAACTGTGAGTCTTCCGCTCCATGCATTGCATGTTGTAGCAACCTGCGGAATGACAGCTTTGCGCCCAGCTGCTTCGGCGGCCGTGCGGCTTCCGAAGACAGCCACTGGGATTCAATGGTTCGACATCAACTGGGCAGAATTGGATCCCTTGCCGGTTATTCCCAGAGATTCCTGCAGCTAGCATACAACAAAATAAGGCCAAGAACAGGTGGTGAAAGTGAAGGTCTCACTCTGTTGCATGGGCTGAGCGGGCGGTTGCACAAGATCGAGGGGCTTCTCGGCACTGTTCCATCCCCTCATGTCTGAGACTTGAGGTGCCCGAGGTGCCAGGCTCCAGCTCGGAACATCTGCGCCAAGCTTCTGCATTCATTGGCGCCTTCTGCAACTCTCTTCTTCAAGAACCGGGTCCCAAAATGTTCAACTTTTCTAAGATAGAGCTAATATATAAGGCCAAAAAGTTTAAAGTTCTCCCATTCGCTATCTAAGGCAATAGATCGACTCCAGGAGATCCCAGAAGGCCTTTTAGGATGAGAAACAGCAGTCTTCAGAGCAAGTAGGAGGCAAGGCAAAGAGGAGGGAGGCGTGTTTATTGCAAAATCCTGTGTGGGGCCTCTCGTCCAGGGATATTGTAGCAGAGGCCCCTGAGCACATGCCTAAGGCGAAGGATGGGGGATGAGTGCCACGGTG